CATAAACTTTATGTATAGAAATATTCTATATAAAAAATATTTGAATCCGAATTTGAATTTGAATCGGGTATATAAAATTTTGACTTATAAACATTCGCTCTACAAACTTTAGGTGGATAAACTTTAGATGTGTAAACTTTAGGTTGTATAAACTTACTAAAAAGAGGAAAATAATGCACGCATAAACTTTATGTATAGAAATATTCTACAAATAAAATATTTGAATCCAAATTTGAATTTGAATCGGGTATATAAACTTTTGAATTATAAACATTCGCTATACAAACTTTAGGTAGATAAAATTTAGATGTGTAAACTTTAGGTGTATAAACTTACTAAAAGAGAAAAATAATACGGTGACCAAAAAAAAAAAGAAACCAGGTGGGAAGGGGAACCGGTTGCCACCGATCGCGTGGGGCGATCATTCACCCGTTAGGATTTTCGTGCAGCGGATGGCTATTGTAGTAACGTTGTAATAAGCTTGTCCTGCTGCAGACCTGTAGTTACAGCGGTTGTAATAACAGCAGTTGCAGCGCAGATGCAGGGCTGCAACAGCTAGTTCTGTCGAACAAGCCCTATGTTACTTAAATTGAGAGTCCAAAACTAATGCATTAACTAATTCTAAAAATTGGATTTAATAAATCTTTGAAAATCAATCTAAAAGAAACTCTGGACCTGAGATATGATGAAATATTTAGGGAATAATGCCTATTGACTAAAAATAATTATTAGATGAATTTAGTGAAATAATTTGTCGACAATAAAGAGGATGCGTGAGGATCTAGTCCCAATAATGCGAGCAACATCTTATGATCATTACTTTTATCATTTCAACGGAAGAACCTGTGCTAAAACTCTAATCATGAATTGCTGTATTTACACACTTAGTTTTCATAAATGTGGTACTCTTTGTTCGAGTAAATAGTGTCCATGGTGCACAAAATTGTATTTAAGTGCAAATAGGTGCTATAGCTTAAAAAGAACACGAATGCAACAGGTTGCAAAGTCCTTGAAAATTACAACCAAAATAGGCCACCCAAGCAAATTGGCGCTCTCAAACAAGTTTGGAGCTTCTGTGTAAAAACGATGCTTATCTTCACAAGTCCTCAATTGCAAGCTAAGTGACATTTCAATCAGCAACACCCCCCAAAACTATTAGCTGTTGAGGGCCCCTTTGAATCGCACGAATGAAATTCTCTAAAATTTCTATCTTTTTCTTCCAAATCAAAGGAGCCCTAAAAGTTTGGTTGTACGAGATTACCGTGTTTGTTTCAGGTGTGGGGGAGCTAGTTGAGATGAAAGTTTAGGGCCCCTTTGAAATAGAGGATTAGTAAAGGAATTTTGGAGGATTCATTTTTATAAGGATTTTTCTTTTCTATAGAGGCCTTTGATTCGTAGGAAGAGCTTTGATTCGTAGGAAGAGGATAGGAAAATTTTCATAGGATTGCATTCCTATGGTCAATTCCATAGAAAAACAAGCAAGAGATTAGACCTCTTGTGAAACTTTCCTTTATTAAGTGTTTTCTGTGATGTAATCAAAGGGCTTTTCTCTCTGTCTCCTGTGTTCTTAATTCCTACAGGATTAGAAAAACATACTACTTCAATCCCTACATTTGTCCTGTTCATGTGATTTTTCTATCATGTGTTTTAAAGAGGGCCTTAGCATTTTGTTTCTCTTTTTTAGGTTATCGCTAATGTTTTTTTTTAAAAAAAACCTTATAAGAATTTTGGGTTTGCACTTCTATGAGTTTGCGTACCAAGACTAGGTTTTAAACCATTTTCTTAAAAAAAAACTTCTAGATAGTAGACATGCATGTTATATTTGGTTGTGTAGATATAGAGGTTGGATTTCAATCCATCTATTACCTTATTAAAGTAATAGAAAAAATGAGTCTCCATGTTCGTTTTCATGGTCTAGAAACTTATCTTGAACAAATGCTTGTCTCTCCATTCTCTCTTGATTTAGTTAAATAATGTCGTGGGTATCCTATTTACCTTTTTTTTACCGCGTCTTTCAGTAAAAACACGTTCTTACAGTGTCTTCCAGCAAAGAACGTGAATTTCGGGTGTCATGTAATAAATTTTGCCAAACAAAATTAAGCAGAGTTCACATGGTAGTAGAACAGTTTTTTTTTCTTTTTAAAGGAAAAATATAGCAGTAGAACTTAATAGTTTGAAGAGAAAAAACACATACACACAATCGGTACTGGCAATCGCACAGGTCGCGGCACTATATTAACCCCCACGTTGATTCTTACAAATACGGACCTCGGTCGGCTGAAGGGGTAATTTGCCCCTGTCCGGACGTCGAGAGCGGATTTTCTCCATGTGATGTCCCCGTTTTGTCTGCACGTTTTGCTGCCCCAGAGGAGAGGACAACGCTACGTGCCCGGGGAGATTCCGGTTTTCTGACTCCTGGAACAATGAGAGAGGGCGCTCGCTACATTTTGTCTATCTTTGACCTGACCGCGCCGGAGAGAGCCGCTGCTACACACGTCAGATAAGACGATCAGCATCTGCGTCTGCCACGGTACACTGTTACTAATTGGTTAGACGCGCGAAGCCCATGTAATCTCTCGCTGTCAGGGACAGTATCAATCAACGGTTGCAAAGCAAAGCTAGCTAGCTAAAGCCAGGTGGTGATCGATTCTGTTTGGTTTCTGATCAAGACGCTGGGATTTTTATCAGCGGTTGGGGCTAGCTAGCAGCACGAGAGCGCGCGCGCGCGTACGTGCTCTGGTCGTTGGACGTGCGCCCGGTTGTTCGCTCGCCGCGGTTCGCTCCGCGCGCAACGACGACGGCGACCGGCGATCCGCTTCGATCGAGCGGCCGCCAACTTTCGGCAACTGTACTTAACCGCCGTGGCGATCGAGCTGGCTGTCTGTCTGGGTGTGCCGAGGATTGATTGACCTTGTATGTGTGACTAGGTGAGTGGCAGACTGCTGGTGGCTGTGGCTTGTCAGCTCTGCATGCTCGTTGCTCAGATGATGGGGTTTGTTTGTTTTGAGGGGGTTAAGCGATGGAGATGGCTTAAGATGGGTTTGTTGGTAGTAATTTGGAATTTTGGACCCCCAACGTTTCGCTTTGCTGGAGCGAGAAGCTATTAGGAGGGGGATTCTGTTCTCTGGTTGCCGGGTGTTTTTCAGGTTGCATCGCTGAAAAAGAATATTGGATGGACACACATTTGTGTGATACACACTTGTTCAGCACCCGATAGCGTGAGCCGTGGAAGATCCTGTTACAAGGGTCGATCACTTTTTGCACCTGATGTGCGAGCTCTATACAATCCTCATTTAATTCGAAAGCTGCGTTATTAGAGAACTAGTTATACAATTTGTTTGGCAAATGATGCTGTTGCTATCACATTGGCACTCTAAATGAACAGTCTTATTTGTTCATTTATGTGGACGTTTGGAAGTTAAAAAGGACTAATTGAGATCCACAATCTCTTAAAAATAGGTCTTACTACCAAACAGGATTAAATTAAAAACACGCCAATGTATAACTGCAAACGCAAACAAACACTTCTGCTAGAAAGATCTGTAAAGTGTCAGAGTCTGGTGGTATGAAAACGAGATGAACGGAAGCTAATTAGTTTTGAACGGAAGCTAATTAGTTTTATTATTAGTCTACATTTAATACTTATAATTAGTGTCTAAATATCCAATGTAATATTAATCTATTATATTATTAAATGAATAGAAAAAGGAGCCTCCACATTCGCTCTCATGGCATAGAAATTCTCACAATAATCGAAGAAAAAGAAAAAACAGAGTCCATATAGAAATACAATTTAGAAATAGCTGAAATTCGGAATTAAAAAATAAGGAATATTAGAAGATGAGATTAGAGTCCATATAGAAATACAATTTAGAAATAGTTGAAATTCGGAATTAAAAAATAAGGAATATTAGAAGAGGACACTAGAGTCCACATAGAAATACAATTAGGAAATAACTGAAATTCGGAATTAAAAATAAGGAATATTAGAAATAGAGTATAGAGTCCATATAGAAATACAATTAAGAAAATAAATAGAAATTCAGAATTAAAAAAAAAGAATATTAGAAGTAGATTATAGAGTCCATATAGGAATTTAAAACTAACTAAAATTCGGAATAAACATAACAAAATTAAAAGTAGAGTTTTGAGTCCGTATAAAAATACAATTTACAAATAACTAAAATTCGAAATTAAGAAAAACATGGGAAGAGTTTAAAGTCAATATAGGAATACAATTTAGAAGTAACTAAAATTCGAAATTAAAAATTAAAGAATATTGAGAGATGAGTTTAGAGTCCACATAGAAATACAATTAGAAATAATAAAAATTCAGAAATAAAAATAAATAATATTAGAAGAAGAGCCTAAAGTCTATATAGAAATACAATTTACAGAAAATTCAGAATTAAAAAAATATGAAAAGACGAGTCTAGAGTACATATAGAAATATATATAATTTACAAATAACTAAAATTTAATATTAAAAATAATTAATAACTAACACATATATAAAATACAATATGAATATTACACATTTGTAGTTTTGTAAAGTTATTGCAAAATTTAAAATTTTGATGTCATTCTAAAAAATTTGAATAATATAATGAGAAAACATATATGCTATTATATGAGAGAAAATATAATGATTCTTGCCGCGCAATCTGTGCGGGCCACCATGCTAGTTAAAATTTAATTCATAAATCCAAGCACCACCTTAAACGGAAAAGCTCAAAAACCGATCTCGAATTCTTTTTTCCCCCCGAAAATTCTCCCAGCTGGACACGCACCGACCCGTCCACAACGACACCCCCGTGCTACGCATGCAAACCATGACGCGGAACCGGCACCTGCCGCACCACACCCAGCCCCCTGCCCGCTCACGAGTCACGAATGCAACTATGGCACAATGCGTGTGAGCCACCCGCCCATCCACAAAAACCCAGAAACCAACAAGGGCGCAAGCCCAGACACGGCACAGTGCAGAGCAGAGCAGCGCTTCGCTTCGCGCCACTGCGACGCACAGCCACAGCGTCCACAGATCACAAGGCGCGCGCGCGCCGCGCGCCACACGCACACGCCCGCGAGACGCCCAGCGTCACGGGCTTTACCACCACGGCATCGTATGCGCCACTGCCTGCCGATCCGGCCGCGCTGGCTGGCTGCTGTGTAGTGTGTACTCCTACTGCTGCTGCTAGTATAGCACACCACGCCACTGCATAAAACGCTCCCGGACACGCACATTCTCCCGGATTTTCCCACCACTTCTCTCGCTAACCCACAGTGTGGTCGTATCCGCTGCAGTTTGCTAGCTTCACACTCCGATGCCTCCTCGCCCGTAGCCGTGTCCAGCTGCTGTGCGACGCGATGGCCGGCGTCGTGACGAGGGCGGTGGCGGCGGCGGTGCTGGTGGTGGTCGTGGTCGTGGCTGCTGCCGAGCTCGTGGCCGCGGAGCCGCCGCCGAGCGAGCGGTCGGCGCTGCTGGCGTTCCTGGCGGCGACGCCGCACGAGCGGCGTCTCGGGTGGAACTCCTCGACGTCGGCGTGCGGGTGGGTCGGGGTGACGTGCGACGCCGGGAACGCCACGGTGGTGCAGGTGCGGCTCCCCGGCGTGGGGCTCATCGGCGCCATCCCGCCGGGCACGCTCGGCCGCCTCACCAACCTGCAGGTGCTCTCCCTCCGCTCCAACCGCATCCTCGGCGGCATCCCCGACGACGTGCTCCAGCTCCCCCAGCTCCGCCTCCTCTTCCTCCAGAACAACCTCCTCTCCGGCGCCATCCCGCCGGCGGTCAGCAAGCTCGCCGCCCTCGAGAGGCTCGTCCTCTCCAGCAACAACCTCTCGGGGCCCATCCCCTTCACGCTCAACAACCTCACCTCGCTCCGCGCTCTCCGCCTCGACGGCAACAAGCTCTCCGGGAACATCCCCAGCATCAGCATCCAGAGCCTCGTCGTCTTCAACGTCTCCGACAACAACCTCAATGGCTCCATCCCGGCGTCGCTCGCGCGCTTCCCGGCCGAGGACTTCGCCGGCAACCTCCAGCTCTGCGGCTCGCCGCTCCCGCCCTGCAAGTCGTTCTTCCCGTCCCCGTCGCCGTCGCCCGGGGTGAGCCCCGCCGACGTCCCCGGGGCGGCATCCTCCTCCAAGAAGCGGAGGCTCTCCGGCGCCGCAATCGCCGGCATCGTCGTGGGCGCCGTCGTGCTGGCGCTGCTCCTCCTCGTCGCCGCCGTGCTCTGCGCGGTGTCCAAGCGGCGGCGAGGCGCCAGCGAGGGACCGAAGAGCACGACGGCGGCGGCGGCGGGTGCGGGCGCCGCCGCCGCGAGAGGTGTCCCCCCGCCGGGGTCCGGCGAGGGGACGGGCATGACGTCGTCGTCCAAGGAGGACATGGGCGGCGCGTCCGGGTCGGCCGCGGCGGCGGTGGCGGCGGTGGCGGCGGAGCCGAGCAGGCTGGTGTTCGTGGGGAAGGGGGCCGGGTACAGCTTCGACCTGGAGGACCTGCTGCGGGCGTCGGCGGAGGTGCTCGGGAAGGGGAGCGTGGGGACGTCGTACAAGGCGGTGCTGGAGGAAGGGACGACGGTGGTGGTGAAGCGGCTCAAGGACGTGGCGGTGGCGCGGCGCGAGTTCGACGCCCACATGGACGCGCTCGGCAAGGTGGAGCACCGCAACGTCCTCCCCGTCCGCGCCTACTACTTCTCCAAGGACGAGAAGCTCCTCGTCTTCGACTACCTCCCCAACGGCAGCCTCTCCGCCATGCTCCACGGTCAGTCTACTCTCTCTCTCTCTGCGTCACCGCATTGCCATTGCCAAATCGTATTTTGGTCGCTTTCTTGCGCGGGGATTTTTCGACATGAGATCGGCATTACGCGCGAGCGGAAATCACCAAGTCCAAGAAGCGATCGATGAGTGCGTGCGTGCATCGTAGACGCAGAAATCGTCGCGGAATTCGGCGGCATTGATGGGTGTTCGCGAGCAAGGTAGTAGGTAGGAGCAGGAGCGAAAGCCAAAGCCTCCATGGGAGGGAAGAGGAGGACGAAATTCCCTCTCCTCTTTTCCTCGCCATGGCGGCATGTGGACGGTGGCGTGGTGGCTCCCGCGCTTTTCCTTCTTTTTTTTTTTATCCCTCTCTCTTTTCTCTTTATCGTTTATTTATTTATTTTTTTCGCGTCGCTTTTCTTTGATGCGGAAGTGTGTTGTGGGTGTGGAAGGTGGTGGTGGTGGTGCGTGCGAGGGAGTGATGACTGCGAGGTTTGGGCTGTAAAGCGCCCGCGACGGTCTGGTCCATCCCATGCTCCGCCTCACGCTGGACCGGTGCGTGCCATCACATTGGCTGCTGCTACTACTCCGATACACTTGCAGCTCTGCTGCACCTGCACCTGCAGTGACGAGTAGTAGTACTCGTAGCGTATCGTGTCGTTGCGATCAAGCCCCGGGACCAGGTTTCACCAAACTGCCGTTTGAGATGGGCTTACCTCCACCCCACGGTTACCGCGATAACCATGTCGTTACCCAAAAAACCGAGCAGTAACCACGAGATATATACGGTTTTGTAAACCCAGAACAAAGTTCAGAAACGCGCAGGTTGCTGCAAATTTGCTACGGTGACCCCCCGGGGCTCATAACCACCCATTGGCCTGGTAGTTTTTGTACTCTTCGTGGCACCATAGTATCATCATCATCATGGGCACTTGATGCGGAGGGAGAAAAGGTGTAGTAGTAGTGCAGTACTTTTCCTTGGGGTCCCTGGCGTGTGGGGCCCAGCTTTTTACCGTAGAGTAGAGAATGTCTAGTGCCTCTCCACTTAATCCTGTCCTGCTGCCTGTACATCGTGGTACAGTGTACACCCCCTGGGTGTTTAAAGGTGTGTAAAATGTTGCCACGAATTCTAGCTGTGTGCGTGCGTAATGTGTACTGCCGGCCGGCCGGGCCTTCGTGCATAGTAGTGGTTCCCTCGAAGTCAATATATTCTTCAATGGTAGGGCAACGAGGGAGGAGACTTTTATTTATCCTTGTACGCTTAGCATATATTGTCGTTGGTACAGTCCCCATCTAGCTATGACTTAGGCTGTGTTTAGATCCAGCGGTGAAAAGTTTTAGCGTGTTACATCGGATATACAGACACACATTTGAAGTATTAAACGTAGACTAATAACAAAACAAATTACAAATTCCGCCTATAAACTACGAGACGAATTTAGTAAGCCTAATTAATCCGTCATTAGCAATTATTTAATGTAGCACCACATTATCAAATAATGTAGCAATTAGGCTTAAAATATTCATCTCTCAATTTACACGCAATTTATGTAATTAGTTTTTTATTTTTTTATATTTAATACTTCATGCATGTGTCAAACATTCGATGTGATAGGGTGTTTTTGCTTAGGAAAAATAGGACCTTAGGAGTAGCTAGCATGCAAGATTGAGGCGAGTAGAATAATAATGGACAAGTGTATTGTAGTGTGTGTGAGTTGTCATCATGGACATGGGGCCATGGCCGCCTTGCTCGGCTACTACGTGCGCCTTCATGGCTTCGGCGTGGCTTGGCTTGGCTTGGCTAGGCTTCACCAGAATCCGTGAGATTATTGCGGAGCTGTTCGTGCGGCCGGCCGCGACACGGGGTTGACGCCGTGTTGTGGTGTGTGTGTGTGTGTTTGCCTCACCTGATCGGGCTCCTTAATTGCCTGCGCTTAAACGTACCCCCAACTCCCTGGAAAACGACGGTTGATAGTTGAATCGATGAACTCGTAAACAGTCGAGGTGGTTGCCTGTTAGTGTCCATCACTGTCTTGGCGTCCTAATCCTCTGGCTCCGTTTCTCCCAGAGAAAAAACAGTTAAAATTTGGAGCTGCAGCCTGTATCAGCTGGAGTGCTGTAGAGCCTTGAGAGTGTTCACAGATATCAAAGTTGAGAGAATGTGGTTTTTGAGTTGGGTTGGGATCGGACTGCCAGTGGCAACAACTCTGCACTACGGCTTGCTGGTAATTCAGAGAAGGGTCACAGGAGCAATTGCAGTTGCACATGCATGTTCTTGCTCGCCTGGCCTCCAATTGCAGGGTACTATAGCTATAGTAGGTCCATGGCACCGGTCAGTGCTGCCACCCACATATGTGTAACCAGTGCCCTCTGCTACCTGCTCGTCAATGTTCTCCACTACTTGACAAGAGAGTAGAGACCACAGCTTTGCTTTTGGATCTTGCCCAGTGGGTTAGCAAGCTCACTTGCTCATCAGCTCTATTTGCCTAATTGCTCGGCAATGTTTTGAAAACACTTGGCAGAAAAATTCAGTTTTGCACATTTAGAAATGATGATGCATACTCTATTGCTGTAGGATCAGTCGCACCATTGATTTTCTCCTTGCTTTTACTAGACAAGAAGCTAACAATTCGGTGTGTTTGCTGGTCTGTAATGTACTAGGCTACCTAACAGATATGCTTAATTGATGGCCAGATGAACAGCTAATAGTCTATTTATAGTAGTACTTGCTAGGATGCAATCTATGTAATGCACTGATATATTTATTCTCTTCTTTAGTAGACCTACTGAACCAACTATTGCGCTGATTGATTAGTCGTGTGCTTGTTTGTGCTGTCCAACTGTACTTAACCAATGAAGATGTCTTGTCCTCTTGCAATGCATAGCCTGCAACAGTCACCCCATCCCATGCATGCAAGTTAGCACTACATTTTTTGTTTAAGACATACTACTTGTTTGTTACTCCCGATTTCTTTAACAGTGACCAACTCTGGACCAGTCCAAGATGAGATTTTTATTCACCCCATCAATAAAAATATCAACCTTCTCTGTCTATCCTTACCAAGAATCCAATACAACAACCAGGAGTATTCTGCGATTTCAACCAAGTGATGGCAGCAAATTTTCTCTTGTGAAGGATCACTAATTATATTTTTTTATTGTTATTTCCTTGCAACATTCACCAAAGATCATGGTGGAATGTAAATGCATTCTTCCATTGGTAATTGGATGGTAGTACTATGGCAGAGTTATTTTCAGTCTTTCATTTTTACAGATACTCATTGCATTAAGTTTGGAGGTGTTTGATTGGAGAATGCCAGAATGTAAATTTCTCACCGGAGTTGTGTTTTCTTTTTTGCCCAGGGAGCCGGGGGTCCGGCAAGACGCCGCTGGACTGGGACGCGCGGATGCGGTCGGCGCTGTCGGCGGCGCGCGGGCTGGCGCACCTGCACACGGTGCACAGCCTCGTGCACGGCAACGTCAAGTCCTCCAACGTCCTGCTCCGGCCGGACGCCGACGCGGCGGCGCTCTCGGACTTCTGCCTCCACCCGATCTTCGCGCCGTCGTCGGCGCGCCCGGGCGCCGGCGGGTACCGCGCGCCGGAGGTGGTGGACACGCGGCGGCCGACGTACAAGGCGGACGTCTACTCCCTCGGCGTGCTCCTCCTAGAGCTCCTCACCGGCAAGTCGCCGACGCACGCGTCCCTGGAAGGGGACGGCACGCTGGACCTCCCACGGTGGGTGCAGTCCGTGGTGCGGGAGGAGTGGACGGCGGAGGTGTTCGACGTCGAGCTGGTGCGGCTCGGCGCGAGCGCGGAGGAGGAGATGGTGGCGCTGCTCCAGGTGGCCATGGCGTGCGTCGCCACCGTGCCCGACGCGCGGCCCGACGCCCCCGACGTGGTCAGGATGATCGAGGAGATCGGCGGCGGCCACGGCCGGACGACGACGGAGGAGAGCGAGGAGGGCGTGCGGGGAACGTCGGAGGAGGAGCGGTCGCGGGGCACGCCTCCGGCCGCCCCGACGCCGTGACGACGCCGGCGGCGGCGGCGGAAGACACCTTCTTGGTCAGGGTAAAGGTTAAAAATTGCATAGGTTCTTTGGCTGCCTGTATGCCAATGCTCTGTTCTTTGCCAATTTTTTTCTCTTCTCTTCTCTTCTTCAGTTTCTTTTCCTGGGTATTGTTTTGTTGGATCAAATTGTATTTTTCTCAGGCTTCATTCTTCCAAGTAAATGTATTTTTTTTCTTCTCTTTTTTTTACCTTCATTTCATCGTCTGCCCCCTTTGTGATCATTGTGCCTCATCCTTCTTTCGTTTATGTTGTTCTAGAATTGAGTAATCACATGTTGAGCTGGGAGCAAAGGAATTCCAAAACTAATCATTTCCATGGCCTTTCTATTGTCCATGGCACTACTATAGTGCTCCTCTATCGCAAAAAATATAAAACTTTTTTATGCGATCTCCAATGCAAAACATTACTCCCTCTCTTAGTTCACATTCATCTCTATGATTGGATTTATTTTGGGGCAAAGAGAGTAATATCGTATATTAGTTAAGTTTAACTACTACATCCATTCTAAAATGTATCCATTTTAAAATGTAGCTATTTTTAATAATATGATTTGGTTTAAGATGAAATTATTTCTTCACCTACTATTTTCCTTTCAACCAATCAGTTCACAAGCATTTTCAATTAATTTATTTATCCACTTTCTTTTTTCAACCAATAATAGCATTCCTTTAATCATTTATATTTATTTTCTTAATATTTGTGCTCACCTAAAAATACAATTTAAGATGAAGGAAGTATTAGTCAAAGTTTACAAATATTGATTTTTTTCTTTAAAGTTGTGGGTGACACATATTTTAGAATAAATGGAGTATTATTTTTTTCGATTTAATGAGAGTACACATGTACACTCACCATCGCGTACGTCCACCATATAATTAAATCCTTAATTTTTTGTTTGTCTTTAATACACGCTAAAAGATGCGGACACTAGCGATAAATCATTAAATCCGTTAGCTTGTTAAATTTTTTATTTCCCTACTACCTCGGTCTTTACTCTTATTAATGTCGACCGTCCGTCTTATTTGAAAGTTTTTATGATTGGTATTTTTTTAATTACAAGATAGTAAAAGATGAATAGTACTTTATATGTGATTATTTTTTTTATAAATTTTTAAAATAATACGGACGGTTAAATGTTGGATACGAAAATTTACAACTACACTTAAAATGCGATGGAGGTAGTAAGTTACTAGTAGGACTACGTTTTTTGTTGCTGCTCACTCTATGAAACACGTACATTATTGTCGCCGATATAAGGTGAATCAATTTTGTTTTTGTTTTTCTTGTGCCAATTCTGGCGAAGAAGAGCGAGGAGGTCTTCGGCTCTGTATTCGTCAATGGTGAGGGCGTTTGCACAGCAGCAGTAGCGTAGAGTTTCTATGGCATCGCAACGTAGCGACGATGGAGAGCAATGGATTCTGCATTTCTTCCCCGTGGAGACCAATGGATTCTGCTACATGTAGGGAAGGCGACAAAGGCACGGGCTGCGTGACATTGGCGTGGCCCGTTCGTGCTAGGCTGGCCGGCGCGTCTTTACTTGCGCTATCTTGGGCGTTTTTACTGCATCCCCTCTCTCCCGTCCTTGTCATTTGAGTTCCATCTTTCCTTTTTTTTTTTACCAATGCCGAGTTGCAGATACTAGCAACAAGCCAACAGGTAACAAGCCATGGTATTGTGATAGTGAAGGAACAGTGGTAGAAAAACGGCACGACAGACAGTGTGACTGTTCAGTCTAAATCATCCTGACCTCCATTAGTGGAGAACAAGGGTAGGAACTAGGAAGTACCAACCGGATTCGCCTGCCAATTGGTTTGATGTCGAAGCAGCAGGGTTTGCAATAGCACGCCGTTACTCCATACGGTAATCTTATATTTTGAAACTTTTTCATTTTACAGTAATCTCACGGTTTTCATAGTAATCGTGATACCGTCCTTATAATCTACGAGGCGCGAATTGGCAGAATTCGACGAAATTCATGAACGGTAGTCGATCGGCAATTCATCGAGGAAGTCGTGTGTGTACATGTGCGTCTTCCGTATCATCGTTTGAGAGAAAAGTCTGCAAGCTACATCGCCCTAGCTCAACGATCCATTTTTCACAACGGGAATGGATCATATGCCTCCTCACTCATCGGTCAGCGTCATCATTCATCAAGGGGGGGTCGCACAGATGTGCCCTTCACGCGCGCTATAGCCTTGCATCGCATGGACGCGACGTACGTACCAGACACGCACAGAGAGCTCGTGTGGCTTGTTGGCCCATGTACCACACGGATCAACGATTGTGGATGCGAGATCTGATCTGCCCTGCGACATCTATCCCCCAGCAAACAACACGTCGAGCCCAGGTGCACCGTGCTCGTACAAACCGATGGCTAAGTTCTGGAAACCTGGAGTGTACAATGTTTTACAGGTTCAGATGGGTCAGTCAGAATGCGATGACCCCCTGTTGAATCACCAAAATATAGCTCATAATTCGCAAATCTCGTTCGAATTTCGTCAAATTACACCGAAAGCCTACTGAATCCTATCGATTCTAGCGGTTTTCGTCGCATTTTGCAAACCGGTGGAGTATATAGCCCTTCAATCTGAAAAAAGAAAAATCGTTCGCGTACTCATGCATATTGGCATTTGGTAGTACGGAGGCCTTGCTGTGTTTTCTTTCTGTAGGCCTTCGCTGAATGGTGATGTTGGGCAGTGATGAGCTGAGGACACGGGGGCCTTGGCACTCGCACTCGGCTCCATGATTTGGCCTCGGTGCGTGCCCACCTCTCACGTGCCTGCCTTCCTAAAGCTGGACCGTGTCGTCCCCGCCCACCGCCTCTCGTCGCCGTTGCTGCCCGGCCGTCCACAGCCAGGACGACGATCCAGCTAAGCGAATCGGGGGAAATTACCTGCTTAATTAATCGGCAGCCGTCAGGTCAGGTCAGGTCGGGTCGGATCAGGCCGGTTTGCAGTTTACAGAGTCCACCCACTGTGGGCTGTGGCGGAGGCACCGATGCAGTTCTTCCTCGGGTCGAAAAGCTCACATCCCGTTCTGTAATGTAATGTAAATGTAATGCGCCAGTTTTGCAGGATTTTCGTAAGAATTTCTCATGAACCGTTTCAGTTATTACTATTGCGACATGGAATTCTCAATCGTTACAGACAAAGTCTTTGGTGATGTTTCCTTCTTCATGTTCTGCAAACGAGCCAGGAATTGAAGTCAGCTGTGCAATGTCTATCTAGGCAGGGCTTGTTCAGTTTAGAGGAAAAGTAAAGGATTAATTCTTACGAGTGCCATTCGGTTTCTAGGAATATAGAAAAACATTTTTTTTTCTTTCCTACAAATTGCTTAGAGAAAACATAGTAAATTTTCCATCTAAACCTCTTGAATTTATTTTATGAATTGATATGTGCATGCATTTATATTCCTCCATTTTTTCTATTCCTATGGGTCGAAATTCCTCCCAACCGAATGAAGATCAAAGTAACCAAATTATTCGCAGCGAGTCCATTCCAGTGCAACAGTAAGGAGAAACACAAGTTACTGTGCTACGGCAGCGACATGTTAATGCGTCCACAGCATCACATTCCCAGCGAGCATGCCTTCCCGAAATGGGCCAGTGCAGGGGGCACACATTCTGATCCAAAACGGAGCAAACCGGGGGCACACACACCACCATGAATGCGGCACATCTCTCGACAATGCTACCCGCTGTTACAGGAGCTACATATATGCAGTACGCCCCCCACTTTTGGGCGAATAATCTCGATCATCTGTAGATGCAAGTTTCATCATCAAGAAGAGCAGTCCTGTGCCCAGCAGCTGCTGCAACTTCTAGCTGCTCGATGGTCCAGCCTCTCTCTCTCTCTCTCTCTCTCTCTCTCTTAAGACGCCGGTTTTTCTGATTGGAACCTTCTGCACCCCATCAAGATCGGATGCAGGGCTTGCGAAAAGAGACAAGCACCAGTTGTTAGCATGGGAGTGTGAAAGAAGTGGTAACTCATACTTCAAGTGAGTAATAATTCTGCAATTTCTGGAGTGGAAAAGTGCTGTGTATAGTTGTTCAGAAAGATATGTACAATGAGTTGACACTTTACAGGAGGAATATACAGTTACACTTTTGTTTGCAGTGTGAAAAGAAGTAATGACCTATATAATGATAATAAGTTGCCCATAACATCTGGACATTGTTCTTTGACAGTATCCGAAAAAGGGCCAGCACAGAGTAGCGATCCTAATTCAAAACCGAACAATTGGATGACAACAGAACTGCAGCACATCTGTCAGCATGTTATCATATTCATCGTTACAGTGACTAAAACAGTTATGCTTTTCTTGAAATTATTCAACCACTTGTAGCTGACTAGCTGTAGGTCTCAAAGAGAGTCATGTGGCCACAGAAACACTGTTTACTCGCTGGTTTCAGCCCTTTAAGGTGATTGGTTCTTTTATCAGAACCTTCTGATTTTAGGAATAATGCCTCCCAACAATAGATGCATACTCTGTAATGTATCTGCAAGGTTAATACAATCATGTAAGAGATGTTATTTCGTATCAAACTGGTATGACGTATCTTTGTTTCATGACCACTCTGATTTAGTCCATACTCCATCACTCAAAATAGGAATTGTATTATGAATGTGAATTCATATGTGCAAACGCCATGTATTTATGTACAGCTGTAACCTGTAAACCTGTATGTCCTATTTTACTAGCACCACATTCTTGACGCCCTGAAATTATTTACTGTGCAGCAGCAAGAAATCTTAGCAAACTCTCTACTGTGCCTCTATCATTGAAGCTACCATACATGTTTAGCAGCGACTGCACCACAGATTTCGACAATAATAGGCCCTTCTTAACAATGCATGCGTGCATTGCTTTTCCATACTGTACTGAAGCTGCAGATTTAACAGCAAGAAGTGCTGCAGAAAATATTGTTGGACTAGGTGCTGGCTCTACTTCTTGCATCTTGCAACATAGATTCATAACCTCAGGATGCATACCATTTCGAGACAAGCCGCTTATTAACAGACTCCATGTCCGCAGATTGGGGCGTGTGCTCGTTTGAAGCATCTCATAGAAGGTGCTTAGGGCATCATCTAACTGTCCATTTCGAATAAAAGCTGAAAGTACTGAATCCCAACATGCTGCAGTTGGAGATGTGCCTTCAAGCTGCATTTGATATAAAAGCTTCAGAGCCTCAGAACCCATTCCATGGTCTGCATAAGCACAGATCATCGCTTTCCACGTGGCTATATCTCTCCGTCTAATTGAATCAAATACTCTGCGCATTTGTTCGATTCTCCCACTACTTGAATACAATTCTATCAGGCTACAAAAAACCGTTTTATCTGATTCAAGATTGTTTCTCACTGCGTAAGCATGAGCAGCTCCACCCACCTCCATTCTGTAAGATTTCACGCAAGCCATGATAACGGACGCTAACGTCACACAATCAAACTTCAGGCCACTCTCCAGCATTCTATGGCATGTGGTAAGGGCTTTGTCAGTTTGCCCATCCTGCAAATATCCTGAAATCATCAGATTCCAGGTGACAATATCTCTTTCAACCATCTGCTCAAATATCACCTCTGCAGCCTCCACCAAACCAACCTTACAGTAAAAGTTGATCATTGAACTGCCCAGAATCAAATCCATCTCCAGGCCGCTTGATACTGCAACTGCATGGCCCTGCCTTCCCCCATCAAGAACCTCAAGATCCGCGGATGCGGACAGAAAGCTCAGAACACTCACCCTTGTCGGCAGCACGCCCTCGACCCTCATCTCATAGAACAAGTCAGCAGCCTCATCAATCCTCCCATTGTGTATATACCCCATCAGCATCGAGTTCCAGCTCACCACTGTCCTCTCCGGCATTACGTCGAACACCTCCCGCGCATCATCCACCTCGCCGCATTTTCCATAGAAGTCCACCAGGCTGCTCATCACGTACACGCAGTTCCCGACCCCCGCCTTCCAGGCGTAACCGTGCACCGCTCTGCCGGGGCCAAGCAGCCCGAGCCCCGCGCAGGCCTTGAGCACGTTGGGCACGACGAAGTTGTCCGCGGGAACGCCCGCCTCGAGCATGGCGGCGTACCCGGCGAGGGCCTTGCCGTGCAGCCCGGCGCGGCTCCACATCCCGATGACGGCGGCCCACGCGAAGGCGTTCTTGGCCGGGAGCGCGCTGAACGCGCGCTCGGCGTCGCCGAGCGCGCCGCACCGGGCGTAGAACACGGCGAGCTTGGTGCCGATGTAGGCGTGGCGGCAGTAGCGGGGCCCGCGCTTGACGGCGGCGGCGTGCACCTGCCGCCCCGCGCGGAGGCACCCCGCCGCGACGCAGCACTGCAGGAGGGACGCGTACGCCTCCGGGCCGACCGAGACCACCGCTGCGGGGCACGCGTCGCGCTCGGCGCGGGCGACGAGGGCGAAGGCGTCGCGGAGGGCGCCCCCGCCTCCGCCTCCCGCCCCGCACTGCTGGGAGAGCGAGGCGAGCGCGGCGTGGAGCGAGGCGGAGGCGGAGGCCGAGGCCTCGTGCGGTTTGGGAGGGTGGCGAGTGGCGGGAAGCGGGAGGGGGAGAGGGAGCGGCGCCATGGCCGCGTTGGAAAAAGAAAGAGAGAAATCCTCGGATGTGGAAGATAAGGCGGGTAAGGGCCGTGAGGTGGTCGTTCCACCTACTCGTGGGCCTAACTGGGCTTATACTAACTCGACCATTTATTGGGCCTCCGTTTTTTAACGACCCATGGGCGTATTTGGGCCTATACTTACTTGGGCCTTTATTAGGCCTCCATTTTGGTAGGCCCGTTCAACGTACGATGGTGGTGGACACTGGTGGCGTTCTTTTCTCTAAATATGAAAATGATGACGAAGATTAAGCTTTTAACATAAAATGAGATTACATTAACGTACGATTGATTAAGTTTTAATTATTATAAACTTAGAAAATAGATTGATATGATATTTTAGAGCAACTTTTATATTAAAAGTTTTCGCAAGAAACACACCATTTAGCAGTTTGAAAAACTTGCCAAAAAATCTTAATCTTCATCCAACTCTGGTTGGACAAAAGAACGGGACCACTGTCCTCGCGTTGAAAATGGCCTTAGTACCCCTACCGAATCAAAGTATTCGGGACCTGTTGCGGAGGGCTTTTATGTAATTTTCTCCCCTTTTTTCTTCTATTTCCTCACTGGCCTTTTCCTCTTCCTCTTTCACCTCAGGACAAAGTGGAGGAGATATTTTCTTATGGCTACTTGCAAATTATGAGCTGTTACAGTACTTTTGAGGCTATTATGACGAGTGACTTGACCGGGTACTAAATAAGCAAAGACCACATCATTCTTGTCTTCACGTCAATCCGATGTACATCAAACATGCTTTGACAAATAATAATAATAATCAGATAACGTTGGACGATTGGTTGTGTAGTACAACTGAATAAGCCTATAAGGAACCTTTTATCCCTTTTTTTTTTGACAAATCTTTCTTGCACAGCCATAACAATTCTCGCATCTAGTCTAGATATAAATAAGGCCATCTACGATGGGTAGCTTGGCTCGTGGCTTCAGCTCACGGAGTCCGACTCCCATTCACGTTTTTGCTCGAGCCGTCCCCAGCAGAGCCACGCATCTACTCTACAGGGGTCGCGGCTCTACAAGCTCCTCGGCTGGGGGCCCGAGCAAGAAGCCACGCTGGGTCGGTCGGCGCTAGGCGAGGAGCCTGTAGACACCGCCCTCTCCCCTCGTTTGTCCCTTTCCACCCCTCGCCCCTCCACCATCGCGACCTCCTCTGTCGGCGCCCCCCCAATCGTCGGCGACCGACGCCGCTCCATCCCGATCTGGCCCAGGGGAGGGGGGCACAGATCCGCCCACGATGGGGCCAGATCTACCGCCCTCGGTCGGTGACGACGCGAGGTAGAGGAGGCCGGGGAGGACGGTGACGACGCGATGCGACGGGCGGCGACGGGAGAGAGTGCCGTCAGCCACCCTTTGCTTGTCGTCGGCCACCGCGCCCTGCTCCCGTGCTTTGAAAGAGAGAGGGAGAGAAAGCGGCAGAGCTCACGCGCCGTCAACCAACTGTCGCTCGCCGTCGGCCACCCTGTCCTTCGCATCATTCGCCGTCGACCAGCGCGTCCCCCACGCAGTTCTCTGTCGGCCACCGCGTGGAGACGGATGGCGGCGAGTGACGGGAACGACAATGAGAGAGAGGGAGGGAGGCGGCCCTCCTCATCACCCTCGCGGCCGCCAGTGACAGGAGGGAGAGAGAGAAGCGAGCGGCGGCGACGAGAGGGATAAAGAGAGGCGAGCGACAGCGGGCGAAGGGAGAAAGACGAGGCGAAGAAAAAGAGAAGAGAGAGAGAGAATTTGTGCGGTCATCGTGGACTAGGGGTAGGGAAGTGAAAATATACATGGGGCTTCGTGGGCTGGGACACCCGTTGTGGGTTGGAGTATCTCCAACAAGTTGCTTCAGATTTTGAGGAGCCCATTTAGGGTATCCTCCAATGGGAGATGAGTGCCCTGAGGGCACTCTAGGTGTGGTTTGGTGGTAGATGCCCTAAGGGGAGTAGTTTGGTGGATTGGATGAGTTTGCGTGGCAGTGGCAGAACCATAAATGTTACTTTGTATTGTTAATTACTATCACCTCGTATTTTGGGTTGTATATTTCAGTGAATTCGCACGTAAAACAGAGACCATAAGGTATTAATAAAAAGGAGTTGTGGGTTTATAGCCAAATCCACCTATCAGTACTTGAAGTACTAAAATAAATCAACTTGGAAGTTGAAATTTTATCTCAAAATAAATTTAACTTCTATCTCCTTATCAATCCTCATTTCACAAACTTCTATCTCCTTACTCAAGATATTTTATCCTTTCAATATTCTTACCTAACCATTCACCAATATTATATTTTATTTCTCAATGTGAGGCATTTTGGTCTTTTTCTCCTTATAAAGCTAGAAGTAGGTTTTTTATGGTTGGGGGAAATAGAAGTATATAGTATAAGAAGACATGATTCCCCCCCCCCTCCCTCTTGGATAGATTATTTTTAGTTAGGGCCTCATCTTTTTTGCTTATGCTTATGCTTATCAACCAAAATTTGAATTTTCAACTTTAAATTTGGAGTTGATTTTGGGGGTTTTTTCATCGAAGTTCATTTTACAGCCTTTGCTTTTAGATCGTTAAGAACACCTATTAAATTACTTTTCGTTTGCAAATATACCGTTTGGCTTATTCCACGAATAAGACAAATGATGAGGCATTTAGTTTCTTTTTTTAGCACAAAGTTGGACACACGTACTCTTATACATATTTCACATCCTATTTTTAGTTGGTTGTATAACTAGTGAGAAAGGCAAAAGTTATCAACACTAGATCATGGAGTAATGAAAATTTAGTATGATCATACTTTGTTTTCGAGATAATTCTCATGATGGGGAAGTTTTACCTATACTTAAGGTCTCGTTCTTTTCTCCAACAAGAGTTGAATGAAGATTAAGATTTTCGTGGCACGCTTTTCAAACTGCTAAACGGTGCGTTTCATGTGAAAACTTTTTATATGAAAGTTGCTCTAAAATATCATATTAATCTATTTTTCAAGTTTGTAATAATTAAAACTCAATCAATCATACTTCAATACCACCTCGTTTTGCGTAAAAAACTTAATCTTCATCTTCAGGAGAAAAGAACACCACCTTAAACAGTAATAGTGTAGAGTTAGGGCTGGACCAAAAACTTGTGTGCCTCGTTAACTCGCTCGACTCATGACTGACTCAGTTCAGCTCGTTGAGATTTAGTAATGAGCTGAGCCAGAGGTTTAGCTCGTTAGACATAATGAGCCAGCTCGAGCTGGCTCGCGAGCCAAACGAGCCAAGCAAAAGCAAGCAGCCCAAGGCCCATCTGGCCCAACGAATTCCCAACTGAACCATAGTGACAGCCAACTAGCTCAGAGATCGATCAATTTCCCCACACCCAGTTTCCAGCCGCGCCGCCAGTTCTCTCCAATATGGCCGTAGCACCACCCCCGCCATCACGCCCTCACGCCCTCATCACAACCAGTCATCATCGACCATGCCCATCGCTACCAGCCCTCTTGCCCTCCAGTGGGTAGCGAGCTAGTGATGTCGCGCGAAGTTGCCACCCCCAAATCCCAATCCGAGGCGGACCATGGCTCCTCTACTTCATCGTGGAGGAACGAACGAGAAGTAGGAGGAGGCAGTTGTGCTCGGACCGTGCTGGCGTCACCACGTCACCAAGATACAAATCGAGAAGGAAAAGCTCAAGCCTGCCGTCCTTGTCAATGTCGGTGGTTCGGCAAGTCAATCTGCCTTGTTGGTTTTGGTTTTTTTTTTGGGGGGGGGGGACTCAGTAGGATGTTTGTTGCCTTTTGGTTGGTTCCGATGTACCAATACTTCCAGATCTGCTAAGGCTCAGGTGTGTTGATGGATGAAATATTCCCAATTGATGGGTACACAAATTTTATGCCAAGACTTTGTGATTCGCAGGTTGCTTGATTTCTTATTCTTCAATTGCAGAAATTATAGTTTGCAGCTATTGTTATCTTTGATATATTTGATATCGTTCTTTGAAGTGCATTGCGTTGGTCATAGGTGGCTTGCAAGCTAAACGAGCTAGCTCGAGCTGCTAACCGAGTCGAGCCGAGCTGGGATTCTAACTCATTAGGATAACGAGCCGAGCCGAGCTAGCTCGTTATCCACCCTATGTGGAGTACACCACTTTAATACCATCATCAACCGATTACTTGATCACCACGTACTTAACGCAATTGATTTCTTGCCTAGCAAGGGTATTTTGTCAATTTTGTAGAGTTGTGTTCCTCAGAATTTGAAGTATGGGCGAATGTGTACTGACATTCCAACTGCATTGTAAAATAGATCAAATTTCTGGTGACCGTCTCTAAGCGTGTAAATCTAATTGTACATGTTTGGTATCCCTCTTCATGGCATACGCTATTTTGATTAGGATGTTAGCAAATTCTAGGTCTTTATATACTCAGATACTCTTTTAGCTTGTAGGTGCGCATTTACAAGGTTGATGCACATTTTTTAGCTTGTAGAGTAGGTGCAGGCTTTCAATATACCTAATAGTACTTAGTAAATTGCTAATAACTGGATATAAGAATAAAGAAGGATGTAAAATCAATAGAGAAGGAAACGAAAATACCCACCTGAATAGAATGATATATGAAAGGAATGGTTGAGTAATCATCAATGCATCTGTAAGGTAGCATATAGAAATGTCAACGAGCAATGAAAGGAACTATATCCCTACCCGTGCTTTTATATATTTTCTTCAAATAGAATGGTGAAAGGGATGTGTGTACTAAAAATGAAGAAATGGCCATGTGATTTTGGGGGAAATGACAAATCAATCAAATCCATAACAATCACATAGAAAATGTGCAATCTAGATTATCCCTCCACTTCCATATAAGCTCAGCTTCCCTCATTGTAACCTAACTCACTCATATCCTCTTCCTCTCTTAGGCGCCTCCCTAATTAGGACATCAAGCATTGACACTGTCCATCCCCATCTCCTCCGCTTAGCTTTCCTTGCCTCCATGTACATCCTTTCCCTTTTGTGGCAATGTTATCGTTGATTGAGCACGCACCACCATCTAATATTGCTCTATTCTTACTATCTCATCATGACATCTATGTCCACCAACGTCCTCATTCGCGCTATAGCCAAGGTCCATTGAATCTTAATCGTTCCCTCCCCTATGCCTACACTAACCTTAGCCTTCTTTGGAATCGAGGAAGTTTGTGGGAACCGAACTAAATCCTATAAAATTTATATTCTACAAAATTCATGCATATCACAGAAGGGCACATTAATTTGGCAAGCTCGTTAGAGAAGAAGAATCACACAAGTCACAAAACATATAAGAACTTCAATTATTTTATTAAAAATATTTATTCTAGGTAATAAATATGCAACAATTGACATATTTCTACCCGCATAGCTAGTTAAAATTTCCAGACACCCGATTTTGATCCAACGCTTAATAGCCATCGACCTCTTTACTATATAACTCACCCTACCCACCCCACCGAACCCTAACCAATCCTAGCCACCGCCGCGGTTCCACCACCCGCGTCGGCCGCAATCCCCCTCCGTGTGCCATCCCTAAACTTCTTTTCAACGCCGGCAAGGGCCACCACCTCCCTCCGCCACCGCAAACCTCTCATTGCCACCACCCAAGGTTGGACCAATCTCCCTCTAAGCTCGCTTCCTCATTCTAATACCTCCCCAAACTCTAAAAGCTACCATCACATCCTCACCCTCGGAGGCCGTTGGAGTTGGAGAAGCGGAAGCGTGGAGCATGGTTCTGTATTCAGATAATATGGCCCAAAACATGTGAGATTTCTTCACTGATTTTCTATCAAAAAATTCTTAGTAGATCCGTTTGTTCTAACATGCCCCTCTTTTAGATCTAGAAAGCCTTGTTATATTTCAATCCGATTCACTTTGAGAATTGACCTGTCTCGTACTATCCAATCTTTTACCCTCGCACACAACAATCTCCTTACATATGAAAGAGAACACAAGAAAAATCATCTTGAGTTACTAATGTTGAAGTACTATATGATTATGATGACATGCATCATGCATTTTTCATGATTTCTGTCCATTTTTTCATTAGTTTTTCTTCCCCCATTTCCAAAATATATGTATTTTTTTTAGTTTTGGCACAAATTAAGATTATAAATGGTTGTGATTGATTAAGACAAGAAAATAAATGGAGAAATTAAATGATAGCTAACTGGTTGAGATGGAAAAATAGTTGTTATGCATCTTGCTTCCTAGGTGGTGTTTGGCTGGCGTTAGATCAATTTGAGTGTTTTCCATTTTTTTTAGCAATACCGAACGGCGGGATGGTAGCTATGTTTGGAGGTTCAATCTTGTATGTCTCACGAGTAGGAGGATAGTAGACGTGAGTTTGGGAGCTGGGGTTTCAGGGAAACCCCACTTTGTTGTTTTGGATGGTTTTCAATAGTTTGTTTGGCTTGTGAAAATGATTTAAAGCATAACCATTTGGGGTCTAGGTCTGGAATGCCTCAAGAAAACAAAGTAATGGACCAGGGAGTGGGGTAGATTTCCTCTTGTCTCCAGAAAATGTTGTTTGTGACAATAGGTGAATCCTAAGTATTGCTTGTAAAGCGGGTCATACAAGGAATAATATATGCCTTGTTTATGACCGAGAGGGGTCTCAATATCTAAAAATATTTAGTACAATTTTGTCTTGGTTATTTTAGTTGGGAGTAAATTGTATTCACGATACATCAACTTTACAAGTGGGTATAACTTAAGAAGTAACCATACGGGTGTACTCGCTCCATCCCGAAAAAAACGAATCTAGGACGGGATATGACATATTCTAGTACAATGAATCTGGACAAAGGTATGTCTAGATTCGTAGTACTAGGATGTGTCATATCCAGTACTAGGTTAGTTTTTTTTACGGGACGGAGGGAGTACCAACTTGGAATGTATGTGTAATGGTTGTACCATTACTTAAGAAGTGAGCATGTTAGCGCATTAACTTGATTTTTTTAATTAGCATCGTTTTGCTATACATGTTCAATTTCCAAGTATATATTTTCTCAATATATAACATAGTTTTATATAGCATATTTAATATGCTGTCATTCTAGTAATTAAAAGTCAATTAAATTGTATTATTTAGAAAATTTTGTATTTTGGTTTAAATTGTAGAAGGTGAAGAAACAAATCCAAACTAGTGGTGCAAATTGAATGAGTAACATAATTTTTATAGATTAAATGCAAGATTGTAAGGTAATATCTGCATAACTGGTATATGATGGCATATAAACATCATGAAAAAACTCATCTAGCATTTCTGAACTAAAACAACACACATCTAGCCAAATTGTTGCACAAAAATGCTAAATTGTCAAGTTTCTTTTACTAGAACGTACCCATTTGCCAAGTTGATGCACTTAGATGTTCAATTCTCACTTTCTTGTACTACTAGATCATACTCGCATGTCAAGTTGTTGTTCCAAGTTTATACTATTTTACTGGGATTCAGGTCTTCTTTTAGTTGTGAATGTAGAAATGGCTAGTTTTTGTAGCATTCTAATTGCAATACGGAATTTGAGAGTACTGTTATTGTTAATGGGTATTTTTGTAAAGTCTGGACTTTGTAATAAATGGATTAGCCAAAGCTTGTTTTGTTTTGGGCTATCATTTAACAGGCTTATTGATGAGTCTTGGTGATTTCTATAATATCTTGTGGAAGCGTACATAACATAGTGTGTTAATGCACCTTTCTAATATCCGAGAGAAATCCCAGTTCCAGAAACACTAGAACAAAACATGGTTGCTTTCTACTATTATTTAACATTTTCATTTCTAAGAAATATCAAAGGTGAAAAAAGTATACAATGTGTACTATCATGTATCTTTCTACATCCTTTTTGTTTACAACATTATTGTATGATAAGTTAAAATTTATCTGTTTCAGAATCCATCCTTGGAAGGACTAATTTATTGAGTGTGTAACAAAACAGGCTGGACATTTACATATATGACTATTTTGTCAAGAGAAATTTACAGACAACAGCAAAAGCCTTCCAATCAGAAGGAAATGTCTCAACGGATCCAGTTGGTATGCATCTCCCTGATTCTTTTTATGGAGAATCACCTAGAAAGTTGCCATGGAGCTATTTTTTTTGGCTTGTGTTTGCCACCGAATTTTAGTGATTGGAAGTTTTTTTTTTGACTTAATTAGTGATTGGAAGTTGCTATGGAGTTATTTAATTTGGCTTGTGTTTGCCACAATTTTAATGATATTACTTACTTCCTTGAATTAACTTTCATACAGCAATTGATGCTCCTGGTGGCTTTCTTTTTGAGTGGTGGTCAATATTTTGGGATATATTCATAGCACAAACAGATCGGGAACATTCTGATGTTGCAACGTCATATATTGAGGTGTGTATCTGTGCTTTTATTTATCCTTTTATGATTATAATTTCCATCTATGACAAATGCTACTAATTAGGGCCTTTCATTCTTCCTTTTCTGCTACATCACAACATAGAAAATTCTTTGTTGCCTTCATAAACCATGTATAATGTAGATAGTTGAACCATTAAAAACTCAATTTTATCTACTTCATAATGTGGCATGCTAGTTAAATCATCAAACATTTTTCCAGTGAAGCCTATTTGGATTGCTAATTGTTTGTCTTTTATTTGTTAGCTCCAGTTTAGCCTGTTGATAACCTCTTTCAAATTTGTCATATGTATTTCATCTGGTGCTAAGTGTAGTCTATGAACTTTATAGTTGAGTTGCATACTTGATGATGCGTAGTTTTGGATTGAATTAAATAATAAAGCAATGCCCAAGTGCATAAAAAAATTGCAGAACAATAGACAAAGAAAAAATGGAGCACCTATCACCCATTTTGTAGCATGCCTAATGGGAGCCTTTGCCTACTCCCTTGTGCACCACCTACATAGGCACTGCACATGTAATGGGCTTCTGTTATGTCTGATCTACATGATGCATTGGAAAACCTAGTACCTTATTGTGACAAACCGTAGCTTGTCTCATGTTGCCTTGATGTGAATTAGAGTCATGAGTATAGTGTTACGAAGAGTAGTCTGGCTTGGTCATGGCTGAACCGCCTTGACGTGATATTTTAGGATATTTACTACAACTAATGGGTCTTTGCAGGTAAATAAGCTTACTATTTGAATGATGTTACTTTCGCAATAAATGAAGTATCTTTTTCCATGTGTAGTTTCTGCAGGACAAGAAAATAATTGTATCACCTCCTTAATTCTCGTGTACGAGTGTAAAATGACTTGCATTTGGAATATGATGCATTTTTCACATGAATAGATAATGCTAATTAAATTGTACTTTGCTAAAATCTTTCAGACTCAACAAGCAAAAGCAGAGCATCAAAAACAACAGCAACAACAATATCATCATCAACAACATCAGCATCAACAAATACAAATGCAACAAATGTTATTACAAAGAGCTGCACAACAACAACAACAACAACAACAACAACAACAACAACAACAACAACAACTGCATAGAGATGGTTCTCATCTTTTTAATGGTATCACAAGTGGATTTTCTGGAAATGATCTTTTAATGCGACATAACCCTGCTATTGCAAATGCTATGGCAGTAAAAATATATGAAGAGAGGTTAAAGCTCCCTTCCCAAAGAGATTCTTTAGATGAGGCATCAATAAAGGTACCACACCAAGTCCAACCTTCCTAGGCTCCTATCTGCCTCTTAGATAATGCGTTTTTGGTTGATCTAAATCTTGCGTTGTTGTGCTGAACTTATAGTTGCAACAAAGATATGGGGAAAAATATGGGCAAGTGCTTGATCCAAACCAAGCATCATTGTTGAAAGCAGCTACATGTGGACAATCTTCAGGGTATTTTCTTGCACTTTTTTTTTGTTGTACTAACATCAGCAAAGTTTACTTGCAAAGATCACTAGAACTTAGTAGATGCAACACACTACTAAATTAAAGTAATTGTGATTCTTTATTCTTTTTCAATGTATGCTATGTTCTTGTTAGAAAATTATTATCTTAATCATGCATGTAGTTTGCTATGATATACATTTGTTTGCACCTAGTAATTTCATTTTGTATATGTATGCACATAGTTAGAATTTTGACATTAGGAACACTATATTATTTTATTGGGTATTGCATTGCGTGTACACTTATAATATTATTATGGCGTGTAAGCTATGTAGCTTTATTCTTAATAGTGTAAGTTCATAGCTTATCCAGACCTGCCATGATACATGAATCATGGTTAAGCCATTCAGAAATGAAGTTAATAACCATACCAGCAAGGATTACTTGTTGACTTGTTGGATGTTCAATGCATGTAGCAACTAGCAACTTGTTGTACATGTGCTTTCATATAGTATTGACACATACCTTTCAGGCCAATTTTGCCTGGAGGTATTGGTGACTTATCAAGTACTCTGCAACAAGTTCAGGCAAGAAGTCCGCGACTTCCTATTCCAGAACAGGTTAATTTGAATTGTATACTGCTTATCACCTCTCACCATACCAAATACAAAATAACATAAGAAAAAAGATTATTACCAATTTCATCTTATCATGATATTCTTGGCAGAATATCAAAATTAGGATCAATCCAATTTTGACAAATAGAGATGTTATTTCTGATGGATCATTACTTGGTCTACAAGGTAATTTTCATCTAGCTTGAACCCTTGAATTACTGTTCTACCTTGCCTAGTAAATAATTCATGTTTCAACTTTCACTTTCCTTTTTAGTTCAAAACTCGTACCGCTTTTTAGTCTAAAAAATTACATGAGTTTTGATTCATGTTGAATTCTTCAGGCGATTGTTATTGGTATGCAAAGTTGCATAATTTTATTGGTTAGTTTTTGAAGCTAAATTGAGATGTCATTTTAATAGGATCTAATCATGGTGGAAGAAATTTTATGCTGAAAGGTTGGTCACTCATGGTAAGCTTTAGAGCCAACTATTATCTTGTATTTGGTTTAAGTGCATTTTCTTTTCTCTAGGAGACGTTGGAGACATTTATTTTAGGAAATTACATATTGCAAAAAACATGGGTATTTAATAAAAATATGTATGCATTAATTAGCGTTCTATGTTTATGGAATTCCAAGTAAAAACCCTCTACTTATGATAGGAAGCCCCTAATTGTCTGATGTCAGCTATTTTCATTTTCTACGGCATATGCTCGATGTTCATATTATATTTGCATCTGAAAATTCTATTCTTGTGATAGCTTGCTATATTGGAGGGACTAGGGACTTGTCGAGTACTGATATTTTGTTGACAGCTAATTAAAAACTACCGACAACAATTGCTAGAAATGTTTGTGCCAATAAAACTCTACCTAGCAATTCACACAAAATTCATTGGAATTTTGTTTAGTACAATGACATGGGTGGTAGCCATGCCTCGTCATCATGAAAGAAATTGCCAATGTTTCTATGTGCATTTTTGTTGTATTACTTGAGAAAACCCTTTGATTGGTTTTCTTTTAAGGAAAACCATCATAGCACACTTTATTGTTTGCAAATAAAGTTATATCGTCTAAGAGCAAACCAATAATAAAATTAGGAGATTCATCAGCCCGGTCGGGTTACTAGATCCATCCGCTTCACAAGCCAAAATGTGATTGAGAGTCTTGTGATTGTTTGTCCTACTCAAGATGCCAATGCACATTTCATATCCCACATCTGGTCACCATTTGTTGTTCCTTTTCTCTAGTTGGTGTACATTATGATCTTTGGGGTGTTAAAAGAGCACTATGTTTATGTAAATAAAAAGAAGCATGGTGTCGATAGAAATTTAAAAAAAACACCAAATACATATGTAGTTTTTCCGTATAGTGCAAAACATGACATTTACACATTATTATATTCTAGAAGCTTGCAACTTTTTTTTAACATATACATCTTTCTATTATCATTGCTCATAAGGCTTGATCAACATCGTTCTGGAATTTTGCAGCAGAAGCCGCTCCTACAATCACCCCAACAATTTCAACAACTCCAGTTTCTAACTCCACAACAACAACTTTTGCTGCAAACCCATCAAAACATGGCTTCCCTTCCAGCTAATGATGTAGAGACTAGAAGATTATGGATGCTTCATAACAACAAAAATATGGCCATTCATCTAGATGGACAGATTAATAATAATAGTGGTCATATTATTCCAAATATTGGTTCCCCTGACCAAATTGGTGGATCACGTAATAAGATAGATATGTTAATAGCGGTATGTTCTATGACTTCCTACCTTGGAAATGCTAGTTTTCTGCTGATACTCCTAATTCTGGAAATTTATGTACTAGTTACATTTCCAATAAAAGCTTTGATGCTATTAGTTTCTTACTTTCTAGATGTTGCATAACCAATTTGCTTAGAGGTGTGGCATGTCCTATCCAAATGGCACTTCTGTCTGATCTGATTAAAAGTTGAACATATTTATTTGTAGTTTTTTTATTGAAGACAATTTTACTTGTTACCAACATTTCCCTATATAACATATTTCAAACAATTTTCTATACTTTTTTTAATCATTTTCATTCGACCCTGAAAATTTTATTCTAAATGTACTTAATTTATTCTCACAATTGTAGCCTAGAAGCTTCCCTGGTGCTTTGCATAGCTTATTTATTAAGCAGAATGCTTTCCTGCTAAAGCAACTAAAGATATCGAGTCAATTCATTCTATGCCATCGAAAAAAGCGCATGTTCTATAATATGCCACCAACAAAGCTCAGTTCTACAATATACCATTGAACAACTCATTTTATTCCTTATATGTCATCATTGTTAGTTGACTGTTAGTCAAACTCCAATAGGGAGCAAAAAATGACCATTTAGCCCTTGGATAAAATTGAGATTTTGCATAATGACATGTCGCATTGAATAATCTTGGATGATAAAAAGACAAGCGATTTATATTTTTCATCATTAAGAAAAAGTAGTGGGTCATGACCAATAAAATTCATGACTACGCATAATAACATAGGGGTAAAATGGACATTTTCTCATCTTTAACGAAGTTTAACTGATAGTTTACTAGCAATGATGGCATATGAGGAAGAAAACGATTGACTGATGGTTTAACTAACGGTTGTTTGATGGTTTATTATAGAACTGAGCTTTGTTAGTGACATATTATAGAATCCAAGCGTTGTCAATGGCATAGAATAAATTATCTCAAAGATATTTTACAATAAGATATGCTGATAGTGCAGTATGAGAAGGACATTACAGGGATTTGTCTTTAGAGTGTTTTATAATACACCTATCAGAAATACTTGCTTTGGACAAGAATTCTTTCCATTTGTTTATCAACTACTCTCTTATGTTTCTATATAGTAGAAAATTGCTCATTTACAACAGTTGCAACAACAGGGTCATAGCCAGCAGCAACAGCTTCAACAGTCTACAATCTCCCATCAGCAGGCTCAAAGCTTGAATCAGCTTCACCATCAACAGGCTCAAAGCATCGGAAGTATGCTAGATGGGAGCATACCAAATTCTTTTGGATTAGCTAACCGAGTATGATGTTATAATAAAAATATGATTTATTGTTTATAAAGCTACATAAACTCTATATCATAGATCATATATATACTACATTTACACTACACTATGCAATGTTTCTGCTTGTTGAAGCATTACTCTCATTGTCTACTGAGAAAATTCGTTATGCGCCTCCAAGTTTTTGCTCAACCCCTTCTATACCCCCAAATATGATTTTTTTTTCTAGTCTATTCCGATGGAACTTTACTGTTCCATGTCTTCATACTATATCTTTTCGCTACTACTAATTGTTTTAATCATTTCTGGGAAATATTTGGAGTTGTATCGATTTCTTAAGCCTTGTAGGATTGTATTGTTACCAATATAATATTCTTGTATTGTATTATTTTATATATTTATATATACTATATTACGTTGTATCCACTAGGGTTCTGCCCCTATTAGTCTCATGAAACAAGACATATTTACGATTGCCTTCCAATATATTTAGATTGGCAAATTGCATGTTTACAATGTGTCCCTCGTTGTTCAGGCATCAAAGAAGAGAAAGAAAATTGTCTCATCCTCTGAAAGAGCTAATAGCTCAGGAACATCAAACAATGTTGGGTCGTCTTCAAGTTCTGCACCTTCAACACCTTTCACTCACACTCCAAGAGATGAAATGTCCATGCCACAACTGAAGTATAATGGTGGTAAATCAAAATCATTGTCTATGTTTGGCTATGATGACACCAAAAGCTTGATCTCTCCAACAAATCCACTGGTATTTATATACCACTCTATTTTAAAGTGCCACTAGCACATAGCTTGGTAAGTAAGATGAAAAATCTCTCAATTCCAGGGTGATGTAGACCAGTTGCAGGAAGATGGCTCCTTGGATGAAAATGTAGAATCTTTTTTATCTCAGGAAGACATGGATCCTCAGGAGACCATGGGGCATTGCATGGATGCCAGTAAAGGTATCTCCATATTTCACCCTGACTTAATGATGATGATAACCAAAATTTAGAAAGTGAGTATACATATCACAAAGCATCATATTTCATAATTGGATTGGGTACATTTAACTTTTATTGACCTTGATAGTAAAACAATCAAGAAAAAAAATCTATGCCATCCCATCATATGCAGTATCATATGGCACCTCCCTAAAAAGAGTTATAAAAGAAATGTGTGTCTTTTTGAAAAACTATTACCCTTCTCTTTGCTTAAGACTTTCACAACCTCACCACTTGTGAGATCAAACATATTGAAGGGATCATTTATCCTAAAGGATGTTTCCAATAATCAACATCTGCATTGATAGGGATCTTTTCTTCACTTCAAATTTCATTGCAACATCTAACCGGTCTCCATGCCTATTTGAACTATTGAGTGTAATGCAATTTCAATCCCTGTTCGAGCATGCATACCCAAAGTCAGCAAAAAAAGGTCATGAAATGATTTGCACAATTTCCTCATTCATTGCTTAGTATGTGGAACAGACATGATAAGATTTCAGTTTTCAGAAAGCAAAGATGGTGGGATGTGTTGTTTTAGGATTCATTCGCTTTCAAGAGGATTGAAATGCTCATATATGATATGCCTTTACTAGGGTGTTATAGAGTATTAGAGTTATGTGTTCTTTAGCTTGACTAGAATTATTTGGCAGAGACTAAATGCATAACATGTTCTCTTTGTTGTAGGGTTTGGTTTTATCGAGGTTGCAAAAGCTCGTGCAAGTACAAACAAGGTTGATTGTTGTCATTTCTCGTCGGATGGGAAACTTCTAGCCACGGGAGGCCATGATAAAAAAGTGTGTAAAAGCAACTATGGATTTTGTGGTGCTAAAAAGGCTATATATTTATACTTATCTTTTTTTTTCAGGTTGTTTTATGGTTCACAGATGACTTAAACATTAAAGCTATATTTGAAGAGCATTCTATGATAATTACAGATGTCCGATTTAGCTCAATCATGACTCGTCTTGCTACATCTTCCTTTGACAAAACCATACGGGTTTGGGATGCTAACAATGTAATTCATTTGTGTCAATTACCCTCTTATAGTAATGTCACTTTGATGTGTTCAAATGTACTAACTATTTTACTATCTTGATGCTATGCAGCCGGAGTATTCTCTCCATACTTTCATAGGTCATTCAACATCTGTTGTGTCACTTGATTTTCACCCAAATAAAGAAGATATAATTTGCTCATGTGACAGTGATGGGGAAGTGCGTTGCTGGAGCATAGATAATGGTAGCTGCGTGAACTGTGTTAGGGTATTTAATGTATGTATCAGCTATTTCTTTTCTTGTTCTTTTCCTTAGTGTTGATATATGTTGTTTGCAAGCTAAAACTTGCCCTGAATGCTTTTTTATCATATCTTCGCAGGGAGGTGCTATTCAGTTGAGATTTCAACCTCACCATGGGAAATATCTTGCAGTTGTCTCAGAAAAGATGATTTCCATACTAGATGCAGAAACGCTGCACATTTATAGGAGTGATCTACAGGTAGACAACCAATGATATTTACCTATATCTTTTTACATATGCATTTCTAGGAGAATTTCTCATATCGATAGAACTGTTGCAGAATATAGTATACACATTGTTCAGCTATGTTTAGTAGAAGTCGTTTTGCATTTACACATTGGACCATCATTCCACTAGTTGGCTAGAGCTTTTTGGATTATTTAAGACATAAAGAAAAGGTGGAATTGCATTCTTAAGTGTTCAACGCAATATATATTCTAGAACTTGACATCATAATATTGATATTGCAATTAAAAATAGTGATAACTTTTGGTTTCTGCACCAATGTATATATGCATTTAATTGTGTGCACCCACAACTCCCACCATTACATCAATACTTCAAACTATGTCATTCGGTATTTGACTCAATTGGAGCATGTGGGTCTGCGATCATGTGCAGGGGCACTTAAAGAATATCCATTCAGTTTGCTGGGATGCTACGGGTGGCTACCTAGCCTCTGTTAGTGAAGATTCTATCAAGGTTTGGTCATTTACTACAGGAAATGATGGTGATTGTGTGCATGAGTTGATTTGCAGCGGGAACAAATTTTATTCTTGTGTCTTCCACCCAAAATTTCCATACTTGCTTGTGATTGGTTGTTACGAGGCAAGTTCTCTTATATATCATATTCAAGATAATCATTTTATAGTACTTTAAAAATATTTTAAATTAAATTTTTGTATGGTTAACATCTTGCAGTCTTTGGAGCTGTGGGACATCAGGGAGAAGAATATCGTGACCATTAACAATGCTCATGATGGCATGATTCCATCGCTAGCAGCATCAAATGCATCAGGGTTGATTGCCTCAGTGAGCCATGATAGGCTTGTCAAGCTCTGGAAATGACATTAAGTTGCAACCTTCATCAAACTTCGTTGTAGGAACATGTCTTTTTTGCTGCAGATAATCATAGGACAAAATGGCAGCTAACCAAATTGTTGAACCGTTTGTGCTGAGAACTAACCCTATTTACATTTTATGGTTGTCCCAGTCTCTCAGACTCCGTTGCTGCATGTGAATCTCTGGTAATCATCATACATGTTTCCTTAAGAATGCCCCATATTTGTTGGTTGTGGTACTTGCGCAAACTCGTAGTAGTTGACGTGGACTCATCATTATTGTCGTGGACTTATAATTGCTAGTGTGTTATGCTGGAAGAAAAAAAAGTTATGGTCTTGATGTGCTTCAGGTGTCTACTGCATATTTATGGCCAAATGGGCACTTTTCTTTTTTTATTGGAGAACGTATTGAGTAGATTTTTTTCTTGAAAAAACAAGAAATATATTTTGCTATGTGCTTTCTAGGTCTAAGTTGAGTTTTGAGGCTGTTGGCTATAGGCCATGTTTTAGGACGCTTTTTTTGCACCTAAAGCTTCTTCGAGTATAATTTTCACAAACAACCAGATTCTCACAAAGATTCTGATAACTAGATGCCATAGAATCTAGAAAATGAAGTAGGATTTGTTTAGATTGTAGTCAAGTTTGCTACCAAAATTTTGGCAACTTTATCATATGGATGTTTGGTTTGCTACCAACTTTTGCCCACGCTAGTTCAAATTCTACAATATCAAATTTAGTAGTGCCAATACTTGCCAAGGTTCTCACCATCTATTTTCATAATCTCCAACTCCAAAACAAGGCCTATGGCTCGTTAATTGGCTTGGCTTGGCTAATCTGTTATACACTGTTGTAATAGACTTTTGAAGGAAAGAAGCAATTTGACTACAACACCTAGAGTCTAACCACATATATATAGTTGTCAATTTATTGTGAACATTTTTTCATCCATGTTTTTTTAATGTTTTAGCTAAGCATATCCACCAATTGTCCATTTCCAATGATTCCCAATTACTAACGTGGAAGAATAAAAAGAGCGGTAGATTTTGAAATTAAAACCAATTGCTTACGCTGAGTTCGATTTAGCTACTCTACTGAGCTACTTTCTCGTTCTACGTGGTTACGCTTTCCAAACTGATAACTAATGTGTTTAATGTGTTTTGTGCAAAAACTTTATATATAGAAGTTTCTTGAAAAAAATCCATTTTCAAGTTTGTAATAGTTAATACGTAATTAATCATTCACTGACGACTGTGTCGTTTTGCGTGAAACATATTAGCGTAACCTAACCAGAGGTTCGAACGAACCCTTACTGATTTAGTCGTCATATTTGCTTAGGGCATATTTGGACAGGAAGGGTTTTATTCAATTCCTTTTAAGTTGTAGTATAGGTTTAGTTCAATTCCTGCCAAATAGAATAGGGGTGATCTTTACCTATGTAAATGATTGCTCCGCCTTTCTTTACTCTTAGGTCTCAAGGCTACCGTAGCCTATTGATTTGCTATATTGTAATACAAAAGTTTATAGTAAAAGTATAAGAACCCTTTACTTATTTGACACGTAATAAGTCAATGACGTGTGGACAACTAATGGATCTCTTATTATAGATTGTCATGGTGTTATTGGGTACTCCTTGATGATGTACTTCCTTAAATCAAAGTATGAAGCATTTTTCTACTGAATTGTCTATTTGTGTGATACTCCTTGATGATATATTCTCTAGGCACTAGGGTTACTCCAAAGTTCTACCCATCCTATAAATCTTAATAAACCTCTCCCTTTCTTCTCTTTAAACTGCCATCACCACAACTAATTGCACTTATTATTATATAACGGTCTGTATTGGTGAGGCCCATTTAGGGTGTGTTTGGTTTGTGGTCGAGGTTGGATAGGATATGGCCATCCATATTTACAGGGATATGGTGGTACTCTTTTTTTGGTTGGGTGGAGATGGCCATCCAGTTTCTTGTTTGGTTGGATGGATGAGAATGGATAGAATAAAAATAATAACATATTAATTAATAATAATATATGTTAATTATCATTAATATAGCTATAATTTATACTAATTAACAACAAAATAGACCAATTATATCTAATCAACACTAATTTTGATAAGTTGATTACTAATTAACAACAAAATACATTAATTATTGCTAATCAATTACTAATGATTAAGATTAGCAAAGGTGGATATCCTCATCCGACCAATTTGGCCAGATACACTCATCCAACATCTTCATGGAATATTTCCTCTCTAGGCCACCCTATCCACCTTTGCCCACCAACCAAACACCCTTAAAAACTGGATCGCCATCTTCCATCCAGGGATATCCCTAGAAACTCTGCGTTGGTGAGACCTATTTAGTAACAAGTCTAGAAACTTTTTAGAGATCTGACAAACATATACGTGAACAATTATAGACATGCCGATCACTTAAATTTAAAATACTACAATGACGTGATCCAGAGCCTCTGCTTGAGGTACCGGACTTTGAATCCGCCATTGAGCCTGTAGGGACTCTTCCTCTATCGCCACCCCTTTCTATAGGGATCTTGGTTAGCTCGGAGATTGAAGAAAAGAGATATACCCATGATCTTAATCTCAATCTAACAACAGTACAGATCAACAAGTTTTGGCGAGCAGCTACCATTAAACCTAATAACTCTACACTTTTATTACGTGACACTGCTTTTTCGTTAAACTTGAGTTAATAGGATTACTATCCCGTTAAAAAAAAACAACTTTCATGTCCTCAAGTTATTCTTTTTGACGTGACGAGTGAGTTCAAGTGGACAAAACTGCGATGAACCCGAACTGTGCCATACTACCTTCCGCGGGTGCACAAGCACACCTCAGCCTCCGCCCTTCCTCAATGCGCCTCTCTTTTTTTCCCCTTTTTTTTTCTCTCACATATCCAAAAAAATTCTCCGTGTGCTGATACGTCACCAGCCAGTGTACTATATACCCTTGCCTGCGCCCCCACTCCTCCTCTCCTCTCCCTCTCGCGTGTCCATTTCACGAATTCCTCGTCTCCACCTCTCTCTCCCTCTCTCTCCGCTTTCTCCCCCTTTCCTCCACTCGCCTCACGCCACACCCCTCTCTCCCGACCACCACCCGCCTCCGCCGCCGCCTCCGCCTCGGTTCGGGTCGGCTTGGCTGCTCCGGCGTCTGTTGGACGGTGGGCGCGGCGGCGGCGGCGGCCGCGGGCAAGGGGCGGTGGGGGTGGGGGTGGGGGCGCTTCTAGGGTTTGGTGGGGTTCGGGCGGGCGCGCCGCCGTGTTTGGGGTAGCCATGTCGCAGACGAACTGGGAGGCGGATAAGATGTGAGGATTTGTGTTTTCCCTCTCCTTGTTCCCGTGGATTCACGCCGTGTTTTGCTGGGAGGTGGAGTTTTTTTTTTTTTTTGCTGCGTCTGGGGGGCGGGGGGGGGGGGGGTTGGCGATTTTGAAGATGAAATCACGGGAAGGGATCGAAGTGAGTGGTTCCGGTTCCGGCCTTGTGCTCTAGGTGGGAGAAGGGTTGTTGCGGCGTGTTTGGCCGCTAGGGTTTCGCGGGCGATGTTGTTTTTCTTTTTTTTGGGGGGTGGATTTCCTTTGAACTTTGTTTGTTTATTGGACGAACCCACTGTTTTGGTTTGCGGGACTGTGTTCTGGATACAGTATAACTAGCTTCTCTGTACGATTTGGAATACCGGTGGGAAAATAAGATAACATGATTTCTGCCAGTAGGTTTTGAATATTCGACTGTATTATTTGAGCTATAGTGATCGTGAGAAGAGAGGAGCGGGATTTGTTTGGCGGTGATTAGTTTTTTCAGGATCTGTGGAATCCTGGATTAGCCTCCTACATCGGTTTACTTACTGACAGTATGATAGGGAGTACTTAGAGAATAACTTGATTTCGCTTAGACATGGATGAAATGATTTGATAGAGCAGTTCTGGTATGCTACTACAAGTTAGATTAGATCAAAGCGGTGCAGTTTGATCTGTATAAGAATTTGAAGAGGAGTGGAAATATCCCATTCTTCTGGTAACTAGGCTATACTTTCACTGATTAAGTAATATATAAGCATTATGTTTGCATAGACAAGTAATAACTAGGAAGCCTCATTTTAGTGTTGGTCAATTGGAAATTGGTCACTCTAAATGCTTCTTTCAAAATATAACTGATGTTGATTCATGGATGGTGTAAGGATCGAAAGACAGGGATAAAGGCGAGATCGCTGAGCTTGGCCCAATCACCAGGAGTCTCTTATCAAGCCAGACCTAATATTATATTTCCTTATTTCTTAATTATAATGGGGTATACGAGTCCTTTTATATCGGATATATTAAGACCTCCCCACTTGAAGCCACCTCACAGTTTTGCACTGACGTGTTACATTCTGGTGATGTCCACGTCATCACTGTGCTAGCAGGCAGCAGGATTTTGAGCACCCCCGTTGCTCGGTAGTGACGTCCCTCTCTATACCATATAGGGAAGACTGACTTGGCATCCAAGGAACTTATCTTTGATATTATAAAAACTAATTCGTTCTCTATCTCTAATCTCTAATCTTTCCTAATTAGATAATCTCTTAGCTTTGTTTGATCTATTCCTAATTTGTCCTGCCTAACCTGCCCCATGGGCCTGACGTGTGGTCATAACACTAAAACCCTCATCGTGACACAGCTCGAACAAGCTGTCAGCTATTCCTCCCTGATATCTTGACAATGCTGGATTTGTGTCCATCAATAGGAGTCAAAACATAAGTGGTAAGTCCTGGAGAAGAGCTCATCGGGTGCCAAAGGAACTGAACCACTGCTCTTGAATATAAAGAAGCGACTCTGCCACGGTCTGAAGGTGGAATGTTGGTGTTCGTACTACAAATAGTCCGTAATTTGCTGAATAAACGAGGTTACCATAAAGTAGCTAGGGAGGTGAACGAGCACAAAAGTGCATCAATGTGGCAATGAGAGAGGCAGGTTTATTGTCCTTTTGCCATGCCGGAGGTGGGGTTCTACAATGTGGTAATATCACGAAGATGGAAACTGGAGCAGTGGTAGGCGGCGAAGTCAGCTAAGTAGAAGCGAATCCTCCAGTCAGTGAGTCAAGTACCCTCAGCTGCAGCAGTGGTTTGAGGGGCTAGAGCAGTCCAAGCTGGTGGAACAGGGGCAGGAAGCGGAGAGTTGGGTGACAGCTTGGCGGACGTGGGTTGCTGAAGCAGAGCAACATGGCTGATAGCGAGCAGAGCTGGTGGAGGAAGCAGAGCTCAGGACGATGGGATGGCTAGCACCAGGAAATTGGTGGCAATCTAGTGGATTTGTGGGATGGAAGGAGAGTAGGCCACGTTAGAGGTAGAGACGAGTCTGCATGGGAGGATTGAGGGCAATGGAAGTTAATGGCAAAGCAGAGTAGTGGTGGTAGCCATAGTTGTGCTGGGGGCGGAGAGAAGCAGCAGGGAAGCTGGGGGCAGAGTGACTGGAGACAGAGAAGATGAGGGCAGTTATAGCAGAATGGGCAGAGGAAGTTGGCAGCATGCTAATTGATTTATTGAGAAACTAGAAGGGAAAAAATGGATGTACATTGATGTAGATAGATGGGCCATTGAATATGTTCACTTTTCCAGCTATTTTCCTGTCATTTTTATTATAATTCTTTCTACGCCTACTAGTTTCTTATTCACCGCTCTGCTTGAACATCCTTCGTTGTCTTGTACTTGGATAAAAGAGTTGTATGTTTGGCAATTTTCTAACCTCCAACCTAAATGTTCGACTGCTTGCTGAAATAGGCTGGATGTCTACATATATGACTACTTTATGAAGAGAAATCTGCAGGCAACTGCAAAGGCCTTCCAAGCAGAAGGGAAGGTCTCTTCGGATCCAGTTGGTATGTATTTCCCAGCAAGTTGAGTGAAGCTATTTGTGTCATGAGTTTTGCTACAATTTTTTACCTTTTGTTAGTAAAGGATGTCGCGAACTTTCTGAACTCTTGTTTCTTGCAGCGATTGATGCTCCTGGTGGTTTTCTTTTTGAGTGGTGGTCAGTTTTTTGGGATATTTTCATAGCAAGGACAAATGAGAAGCATTCAGATGTTGCGGCTTCATATATTGAAGTAAGTGTCTGTGCATCTAATTATCTTTTTATGGACATATTTAATGTTTCAGGCATTTTAGTTTGCCATGCTGGCGTTTTCAAATAAGTTCAGCTTGAATTGTAAAGCATTACGCTCAGTTTGTTTCTGCATATTGAAATGGCAACTCCCTCGTTTCCCATTAGCACGCTTCCCGAACTGCCAAACAGTGCATTTTATGCAAAAAAAAAATTCTATATAGAAGTTTTCAAAAAAAAAATAAAAAAAAACATTTTTCAAGTTTATAATAATAATTAATACTCGATTAGTTGCGCTAATGACTCGACTCATTTTGCGTGAGATACTGAGCCTTTCTGATTTTACCTTGTCAATAACTGCCTTTTGATTGGTTAGTGATTCTTTCTGTTTGTTTGTTGCTTTATGATTCAACTGCTTGTGTTATATGTATGTCAGATCCACCACAAGCAGGTAATTCCATTGTAACTTATATTTTGTTTCGGTTTTACATTGTAGGCTATTCAATTTTTTTCCTGGGAGCATATTTTACTAATGCTGTAATCAAGTGCGATAAATATTCCAAATTGTCTGATTTGCATCTTTAGTTATGGTAGTATGAACTTGAAGAGATCTTTTTCCCTGAATTGACAGTTCTAACTCAGCTTCAACTCACCACTCTTTCAGACTCAGCACATGAAAGCCAGGGAGCAACAACAGCAGCAGCAGCAGCAACCTCCTCAACAGCGACAACAGCAACCACAGCATATACAAATGCAACAAATGTTGCTACAAAGAGCAGCACAGCAGCAGCAGCAACAACAGCAGCAGCAACAGCAGCAGCAGCAACAGCAGCAACAGCAGCAGCAGCAGCAACAACAACAGCGCAGAGATGGTACTCATCTTCTTAATGGTACTGCAAGTGGACTTCCTGGAAACAATCCTTTAATGCGGCAAAACCAGAGTACTGCAAATGTTATGGCAACAAAAATGTATGAGGAGAGGTTAAAGTTGCCTTCCCAGAGAGATGGTTTGGACGAGGTGTCAATTAAGGTTGACTGTTATCTATAATCATTGATTGATGTTGTTTCTATAGATTCCTCACCTCACCAATATGTTCATTTTGTGGTTAATATTATCATAACACGTGAACTTTGGTTTCAGCAAAGATATGGAGAGAATGCTGGACAACTACTTGATTCAAACGAAGCGTTGTTGAAAGCATCTGCAAGTGGACAATCTTCAGGGTACCTGCTGAATTTGTGAATTAAGTATATAATTACTTTAACAAGCTTTATACCGTGTACAGTTGTAGCTGATATTTCACCATTCGTGTTACAGCTTCACTGTAATCTAATCCACACTACACTTAGTACTTCTGGTATCGAAATTCACAGAGTTGTCTATCTGTTGGTCGAAAAATATTATTTTATTTTGAACTTTTCTTTTTAGTCATTTGGTTAGTTATGGAGATAAATTAGACACACTTCTATTTGTTATTCTTATTTATGCTTGGAATTGCTGCTTCTGCATTTTGCTGTTTTTTTTACATGCATGCATTGTTTTGGCTCTTAATTTTGGTTCTTAATTACTTGTGTAGATATAAATCATTTAGTTATGTTTTGAAAAATGATGTGTCCAAAACAAAATATACTGAAGTGTCATCTCATTCCCATATTTTATTGCTTATTTAATGGAATGTAGATGCCTATTGAACATCACCATGTTTTATATTGACCATAATATACATGCGCTGCAAGAGGTAACTTTTCTCAGATAGTTTACTTCTTTCCTTTGTAGGCAAATTTTGCATGGTACTGTTGGTGGTCTGTCAGGCAGTCTGCAACAAGTTCAGTCCAGGAGTCCACAGATTCCTGGGCCAGCTCAGGTTAGTCTTCTGTTTATTCTGATCTGTCATGTATCTCTAATTCCTAACATGCTTACCTCCAAGGCGAGGAGGACAAAAAGAATAAATGTCAACATGTATTCCTAATATTATTCATATTATTAGCAGAGTATCAAGACAGAGATGAATCCCATTTTGACACCAAGGTCAGCAGGTCCTGAGGGGTCATTTATTGGTGTCCAAGGTAACATGTTTTCAGTATAGTCCCTGGAATTACTTTTCTTGTAATTTTTTTTCTTAGTTCAATCTTGAAGAGTTTATTAGCCTTGCTGTAAAATTATAGGACCTTGGAACATGATCTTTTTTATGTTATGCATACCTTAATCAGATGTATTTTTAACAGGGTCTAATCAAGCTGGAAACAATTTGACTCTGAAAGGATGGCCACTCACGGTAAGGTTTAGTTTATGATCAAGTAGTAACTTTAGTCTTGGACATGAATGGTTTCTATATAGATTGCCTGGCTTAAATACAGATTTTATGCATTTTCCTTATGATTAATGCTCCTGCAATAGACTGCGCCTAGGTTTAACTCCCCTATAGAGAGGAAATGCAGCGGTCTTTTCTCCCTTGGGTGTTCATGCTTTCTCTAGTTTATTAATGGCATAGACTGTCTTGTAGCACTTCTACTGAGCAAGATAAGCTTATAAGTTTTCCTGTGTTGTTTTTGTTTTGTTTGCACTGTCCATTTGCATAGTGCAATTGTAGTTCTCAGTTTATTTTATGAGAAAATCCAAGAAATGCCATTGGCAAGCGCCTAATTCCAAGAAACTTTTATTTTATTGACCATCTTTCAACAAATTTCACACTTGCCTTACTGATTCATCTTATATTTAAAACTTTAAATCCATCCTTCTTTTTGGGTCTATTCCTCTGCATATACGTAATTAATTTGTGGCAGTTTGTGTATTGGTAATATATGCCAGCATTAATATCATTGGTAGCAATTATGGGACCAACTTGCAATTTTATTTTCCAATATAGTGGTAAACGACTGTGATTGGTATCTATTATTAATTGACTGCATATGCTATCTCTCGGTGCTTATTTTCATGTGCCATTTTTTTTCTTTTTGTTTTCACAGGGACTTGAACAACTTCGCTCTGGACTTCTGCAGCAGAAGTCATTTGTGCAGAATCAACAGCAATTACAACAGCAGATTCATTTTCTTACCCCGCAACAGCAGCAGCAGCTTATGTTGCAGGCTCAGCAAAATATGGCTTCCCCAACATCTAGTGATGTTGACAGCAGACGATTAAGGATGATGCTTAACAACAGGAATGTTGGGCAGACAAACAGTGGTGGTGATATTATTCCAAATATTGGTTCTCCTAGTCTAAGTGGTGGAGATGTAGATATCCTGATAAAGGTATATCTTTTGATTTTTCATCCTTACAAGTGTTATTCCACCATTAAACTGGTGTAAAAGCTTTTGTTTGTTTAGATTTACTTTCTAGGTTTTGCAGTTACTGCATGTTGTGCTTTCTTAATTTCTTGCTGAATGTGGATTAGCAGCTCTCTTCCATTTTTCTGTTATACTAGACCTGTAGTTCTTTACAGAGATAAGTACAATGCTGCCTGTTCGATTTTTGAGAAGATAACTCAAATTTACCTTGTATCCATCAATTTTCCTAATATCTATGTTCTATGTTTTCTAATATGGAATTGATGGTTTATTTATCATTTAGTATTTGTTACATTTCTGCTCTTTTCTGTATGCTTACCTTATGCATATAAGTTGACCTAGATTACTGTAATGATTCCATCGTTCTCATTCTATGGACACCTTCCTATGCGTTATTTTTCTCTCTTTTGTATGTTCCATGTTCTTATATGGATTTTTCTGCGTAGTAGAAGAAAATTGCTCAGCAGCAACAATTATTACAGCAGCAAAGCAACAGCCAGCAGCATCCACAGCTTCAGCAGCCTGCTGTCTCCAGTCAGCAGTCTCAAAGCTCAAATCAGTTTCTCCAACAAGAAAAACCAGGAATCGGAACTATGCCTGTTGATGGGGGCATGCCAAACTCTTTCGGTGGAGTTGATCAAGTATAATTCTTATCTGTACACATCCATGCTTGCCATGCTCCATTTGCATTAATGCTTAGACCTAATATACTACTGTTCGTTGTGGTCTGAATTGATCACTGTCAGTTTTGTGGAATCTAACTGCTTTTTTGTTTCTATCCTGATATATATTATATATAATTATAGTATTTCTACGTGATACAAAAATTGCCATGAAATGTATCGTGTGCTAGTTTCAGTTTTAAACTCAAGCCTTGTTCAATGACTCAGCTGATTGCTTTGTGCTTTACTGTAATCACTGGAAATGAATCTACTATATAAGGCTGTGGAGCTAAGTGATTTGTGCATTCTTTGATTATATTGTTCTGAAATTGATTGTCCTTTGGCACAGAAATTATGTTGTTGTGTAGTTTTTCCTGCCGACAGAGTCACCATATCCCTTGCTGCTACTGATGTTCTTTCACCTTTCGTCAAAAAGGAATTCAAAACGCTTGCCACTGTTTAAGATAATATGAAGAGTAAATATTAACTTGACCACAGTCATTGAGTCACATAAACTGTGCTGTTTGTTGTCCAGACTACAAAGAAGAGGAAGAAACCTGGTTCATCCTCTGGTAGAGCCAATAGTTCAGGAACTGCAAATACTGCTGGCCCTTCTCCAAGTTCTGCACCATCAACGCCTTCCACTCATACACCAGGAGATGCAATGTCTATGCCACAGCTGCAGCAGAATGGTGGTTCCGCAAAACCATTGGTAATGTTTGGCTCTGATGGTGCTGGAAGTTTGACGTCTCCAGCAAATGCACTGGTATGGACATATTTTCTTTGGAACAACTCCATTCTTGACCATTCGAGTACAATTTAGATTCAGAAAACCTCCTTGAACATTGACCTATCATCTTTCGTCCCTCAACTATTAAAACCAATGGAAACACGTCCTCCCCTTAAACCACATTGGTTTTTTGTGGTGTGGGACCTGTGTCAAAGCATGTGCGTAACCCATACTTAGGTATTGTCTTGACCATATCAGTATGTCAGCACCCCTCCTAAAAATCTTAGTTTTTCTTTTAGTTTCACTCCATCCCTTATCACTCATCCTAGTCATTAGGATTATCAGATTTCCATTAACACTATAGTGTTGACTAGAATTTCCACATTAAGAAAATAAAAATAAATTGCTTAGTGCTACTCGCTTACTCCATCTGTCCTAAAATATAGTAACCTAGTACTACGAATATGGACTGTGCCCTGTGTTCCAAGAAAAAGAACTTTTTACTCTTCACTAATTCTAATCTCATCCATCCATCCAAAGAGATTCAATACAAGATATGTATCAAGAGTAAGTGATTACTCATTCAAAGAGATTCAATATACTATATAGACTTGACTAGAATTAGTGATTTGACTGCCAACATAGTGAACGGTTTCGATAGTTTGAGGTGGAGGGTGAAATGTGAATAGTTTTCAGAGTTGGAGATTGTTCTCTGGATTCGGGCAATAACTGAGGGCATCAGTTAGTATTGTTATATATCCTTAAAACCCCCAAATTTTATTCTTGTTTTTCATTTGTATTTAACAACATGACCACAGAAAGTTTTCAATTTCAGGCTGACGTGGATCGTTTGCTAGAAGATGGTTCATTGGATGAAAATGTTGAATCTTTTCTATCTCAGGATGACATGGACCCTAGGGATTCATTGGGGCGCTCCATGGATGCTAGTAAAGGTATTTTAATATCCTGCTGATACCTGGCTGCTGTATGCAATCAACAGGAGTCATAAATAAATGAACATAGTCTCACTAATAATCTGCATTTTTTATCTTGCCACCACAGGCCTTTGAGAAGGCAAAACATGCTTGCCACTGTTACATTTTAAATATCTATCATCACATCTGATTACACATTAAATAAGAAATGTCTCCATAACAGATCATAATCAAGATGATATGGGTGATTTTACTTATTGTTTCTCTTGGCCATATGATGAAGCTTCTGCTTGATCGCACTTGATTGATCTGTTTATACAGGGTTTGGTTTTGCTGAAGTTGCGAAGGCACGTGCAAGTGCAACCAAAGTTACCTGTTGTCACTTCTCCTCTGATGGCAAACTGCTCGCTACTGGTGGACATGATAAAAAGGTGCAGTTGTTAACACAATATATTTTGATTTCTTAGTGCATGAAAATCTTTAACGCATGCCTCTTACTCTGCGCAGGTTCTTTTATGGTGTACAGAGCCTGCTCTAAAGCCTACATCTTCATTAGAAGAACATTCGGCATTGATTACGGATGTTCGATTTAGTCCAAGCATGTCACGGCTTGCTACATCTTCCTTTGACAAAACCGTGCGGGTTTGGGATGCTGACAATGTATACTCCTTTTCACCATATATATTTTTAAGAAAAAAAAAAGCTCCACTTTACAACATTGAACTTTTAAGTTTGGGAATCAACCATCAACTACAAACCCAACCGGACAACTGTAAAGCAAACTGTTTGGATGTTTGAGCTAGAAAATGTCTAGTGTTGTAGTTTGAGGTGATCATTTCAAGACTTTTTTCTTGAGTTCAATTTTGTAAAATGGACATTTTCCTATATTTTATTGCAAAGTTATCCTATTAGGGTGCTAATAGCTTATTGTGATATCAATTCAAAAAAAAACTATTGCGATAGTGATTGCAAGATGTTCCATAACCTAAAACCATGTAGTGACTAATCATTTGATTATGTGCAGACAAGTTATTCACTCCGTACTTTCACGGGTCATTCAGCATCTGTTATGTCACTTGACTTCCATCCGAACAAAGAAGATATGATTTGCTCCTGTGATGGTGATGGTGAAGTCCGCAGCTGGAGCATAAATAATGGTAGCTGCCTGACCTTTGTTAAGGTCTTTAAGGTATGCAATGCAACTTCATGTGTTTCATGGTATCTTCTGCTTTAACATTCAACTTCTGATGCTTGTCTCTGTTTCCAATCATTTTTGTCCCAACAGGGAGGTGCTACTCAGATGCGATTTCAACCTCAAAAGGGAAAATATCTTGCAGCTGCCTCAGAGAAGGCCATCTACATACTTGATGGAGAGACACAACTTGCTTGTAGAAACCCTCTGCAGGTCTGTTAGCATTTACCCATTCAGAATGTGTATAAGGAAGCATTCACTTAGCCCTTGTAATTAACTGCATTGCTGTTTATGCGGCACCATGCCTCCGCCACTACCACTAGTTACTCGTACCAAATTGTGGTTGCCATTCTTGATCATTCACTTGGTACAGTGCATCATAAATAGGTTTGTTAGGACTTGGATGTTCAGAAAAGTGATTAAACCAATGAATATTCTTATATCCTTGATTTTTTAGCAGTTCTGGATTTTTTTTTAAGCCCATTACATTTGATTTACAAATCCTTTGGTTCTTAGTTCTAAATTTTGGGGGAAAACTCTTGCAAAAATTTCATGAGTAGGTTTTATGATAATGAAATTTCTTTAGGTTTGAGGTATAATTTAGTTTACTTTTGGACAAATTTCCATTGGTTTTTCTGTCTGGCCTGGTAGGAGTATTGCAGAAGAAACCCACAATGGCAATTCCCATAATAAGATGTATATATAAGCTGCAAGATTGAGCCCTGTTCTGTACTTCTGTGCACTCAGATTAATGCCTTCTTTGCTATATACCTACTCCAATATAAATAGTTACATGTTAGAGATCATTGCTCGATTGATATGACTTGCTTTATATGACAATATTTTTATTATGGCAATTGCAAGTATCTTTAGGTTCAAGTTCCATTGAAAGTTTTATTGGTATCTGTACTCTGTAGGGGCACACAAAGAATATTCACTCACTTTGTTGGGATTCTACCGGTGACAATCTGGCTTCTGTCAGTGAAGATAGTGTCAGAATATGGTCGTTTGCTCCTGGACATGACGGTGAATTTGTGAATGAGTTGAGTTGCAGCGGGAACAAGTTCCAGTCATGCGTTTTTCACCCCTCTTACCCATATTTGCTAGTAATTGGATGCTACGAGGCAAGTCTCTTATCTTGTTTGGCATAGTTCAGTTATTTTGTGAGTGCATTTGATTAATAGTGTACGTTTGTTTATTTATGTCGTGCAGTCTTTGGAACTCTGGGACATTAGGGAGAAGAACGCCATGACGGTCCACAGTGCTCATGATGGTTTAGTTGCAGCGCTAGCAGCATCGAGCGCAACAGGCAAGGTTGCCTCAGTAAGCCATGATAGGTTTGTCAAGCTCTGGAAATGACTTGCTCCAGGTGACCACATGACAAAAGAGGGTAGCTAACAAAAAAAAAAAATCTTGAACCGCTTTGGGTGCAAGAACTAACCTGGTTTGTGTTTTGTGGTTGTCTTCAGTTGTACCGTGTATGCTGCTCTATTAGCTTCTGAAGTTTGTAACTCTGTAGAAATGTTTGTTGGCGTGCTGTAACTCTCAACATGTCTCTGATTTGTACTGATCATAAGTTACAAAGTCTGTTAGTCTTTTTCCTTATGTGTTGTGATGCATCGTCTTATCTTTCTCGTACCCGTTTTCATGGTTCGAATCTAAAGGCCCAGTTCGAGGGCGTTGGCCAGCTGGTGAATGAATCTAGAAGCAGCTAGTGACTAGGGAGTATCCTGATTAGCTGATAAGAATATGAAGATCTTTTCTTTTTCTTTTGGATTAGCTACTGACTCAACTCATGGTCTGGAGCAAACATGCGCTCGGTTTTGGGATTTGAAGGAGCTGCTCTCATTTAATATCAGCACGCTTTTTAATTGTTGAATATTTTTTTAAAAAAAATATCGAAGTTGTTTTAAAGAAATAAATAAATCTGTTTTCAGGTTTATTAGTTAATACTTAATTAATTTTATGCTAATTATCCACAGCGGTTTGCGTGTTGGTGAGAGCTTAGCAAAGTAGCTATAACAAACACATCCATCATGTTTGTTTTTCTCCAAAATTCCAATGTAATGGCTCATTTCATAAGATTTTTCATACGAAACTTTTGGGACCAATCCAAAATTCTTTCATATTTCCTTTGTTCTAAATGGAAGTCCTAAAATGCTCAGGGAAACAGTTATTAGTGAGCAGATATTGTCTATGTTTTAAAATGTAGATATTTCTAACACAATACCTTATTCCAAAATAAATCTAAAATAAAGTTTTTTTTTCACCTATCTTCTCCCCTCAACCAATCACAACCATTTTCTTTCACCTAATTTCTCTTCTCAACCAATCATATACTTCCTCCAATTATTCCAATCTACTTTCTTAATATCCGTACCAACCTAAAAATTGCACATTTTGGGATGGGAGTAGGCAACAAAAATTGAAGAGATCGATTTATGAACGTAAGATAACTAAGAGGATGGTAGAATTCAATGCAAGTGCTACTTTTTAACACATGATTTTGCGAACACGGGAATAGAAAAAAAAATACAGAGATGCACAATAGAACCATGTATGATTCCAAAACATGGAGAATATTAGTAGTACCTTTCGATAGCTCCAAGGAAATAAAGGGATTATTTGAGGGAGTTTAATATTCTTAAAAAACAACTAGTTGGTAAACTTAGCTTCTAGCTTGTAGCATCTCAGAATCTGAATAAAAAGTTAAACTGTTTGAAAAAAACTTCTGATTCTGAGAAAAGCTATAGCTGTCAAAATTTCCTCAAACAGACCCAATTTTAAAGGAATTAGATAATGTAGAGGGATACTATCTTTCTTTACAGAGTACAAACAATTGGACGCACACATTCAATAAAAGCAGTCACGCTCGTGATAGATTCACAAAGCCAAGAGAAAAGAAGAGTTGGCAAAAGGAAAAACATCGATTCATAAAATTGGGGCAGGCTATCGTCTACATACATTTGACGGTATAATATCTACTATGGATATAGACACCAACGGCTCTTTAGAACAGCTGGGACTAAAAGGAGCTAAAGCGCAAGCAAAAAATAATAACCATCCGAAGTTACCAACAACGTCCCAGTGAGGGGCACCCAAAACTGAGCGTGTCTTATGGTCATAATCTTCAGCGTGTCTTATGGAGCACCTCAACCATGTCCTCGTCCTCCAGGCCAAGGTCCTCTGGTGTGCTTTCTGCGTCAACTTTGTCACCATCGAATGCAAATGTCAGGTCTGCGACGCTGAGATTAACCTTCTTAGCATATGCCCTAAAAAGCTTGCCAAACTTCTCATCCTGTAATGAGAAAGCACACAAGGTTGGTTCAAATTCCCATCCAGCAAGGTAAATGGACAACTAAAATTTCGCAATCCAGCTAAGCTCCAATACACACTAAACTAATGTAGATATCATGCAATCAGGTAAAGCTTCAACAATCAAATGAAGGGAAAGTGTATTGAGCATTTATTTTGTGAAATTGAATGTATTGGTTTAAAGAAGAGCATGCCAAATTATCACAAGTTCACAACCATCTGTTAGAAAATTCGAACTGCCTAAAAATGTCTAAGAACATCATATAGGTTTGGTAATATAAGCAGTGCTACTCCATTAGAAAACCAACCTTGTATAACCGAAACTGGTGATGTCCAGCTTTGTCCTGAACTGTTACGACCACCTTTTCTCTTGCTTCGTGTCGTTCAGGTGACTTGTCTAGATCTATATGTTCAGTTGGTATTCTGGCCTCAACCTTTTGCCTAGCAGTTTGAGCCAACTTCTCCAGAAAATCATCAGCTGATTCAGCAAATTTCGCCATTGCTTGCTTCTGTAATCTGCATAATACGTAAGCAGAAATCAGATGATCATAAATTCACATCTCTAGGAATCGGTAATTAAAAAACAAAACAAACAAAGCACTGCTTCCAAATCCGTACACAACATCACTGCAAGAATCATAGTATATACAGGACTTCCATTTCAACTTCCAGATATATTTGGATGTCCAGCAGGGATTGGGATCACCTGCAGTATGAACAGCGACTGCAAGTTAACTACTGCACGCGATTACAGCCATTCATTTTGGTGATGAATGGACCAGATCATCAGCTACAGTATCAACGCAAAATACCGAATATTTTTGCTACAGTGATCTACAGTATCCAGGTGCATGTGGACCGTTAGATTCGGATCTAACAGGTGGCAGTGGACTGCATAAGTTGCAGTCACAGTACCAACTGCACCTACCAACTGCACCTGATCGAAATCCGTCAAGCAGACTACAGCCAGAAACTTTAGGTCGCAGACTATTTTCCCTAGGGAAATTGTCAGAAACAATCGATTTCACCACTCATTGGGATAACATGCTGGCTATGTCATATGCAGTAGGGTATTCCGATTTTGGTCACTAATCTGTCAGAAAAGCAAAGGGTACTCTGGCCATATGAAACATGAGTTGTTATGGCACTGAGTGCTTCGATAAACAGCAGTGCATTCGCCTTATATGCACTAAATCTGCATCATCTAAAAAAAATGTTGCACAGCTCTGTCCATGACTTGGAAAAATGATGGTGAAAACAACAGTACAGTCTACCTTCCACTCTTATTAATCTATACAAGACAAGCACTTTAGGTTCAATGATGCGAAATTTAATAAAGCAGCTTTTAAATTGGAACGTCTTGACTTCAATAATCTCGCATCAAACAACAATACCTGTTTAACAATGCTTTCCTCATCAATAGCAAAATATAATATAGTTGCTCATTCTAAAGTTGATAAAAGAAACACAGCTGTACACCTTGATACGGTATGACTTTCTTAAGCTCACCGCATCATCTAATACATACTCCCTCCGTCCCAAAATAAGCCAACCTCGTACTAGGATGTGTCACGTACTAGTACGAGGTTGGCTTATTTTGGGACGGAGGGAGTACCAAGTATGGATCCCGATATGATACTAGAAAGCAGCAATCAGCATACGGCATCACCAGGTAAACTTACAGAATGGAACCATGCACAGGTTTATACCTCAGCTCCTTCAATACGCTGCTCTGCTCTGATTCGTCCGTGACAGTGGACTTGGGCTTGGGGGGTGGCGGCGGCGGCAGCCAATCCTCCTCTCCCAAGTCGACTACCGCGGCAGCCTTCGCGGCCTTCTGCTCACCCTTATCCCCCTTCTCCTAAGGAAAAAAAACACATACCAGCGCGTCAAACATTTTTCCCCCACCGTAAAACTGGAATTGAATTCGAGCGCACTCACGTCGGCATTGGCGTCGCCGTCGCCGTCGGCCACCTTGCGCCGCTTGTTGCAGTGGACGAAGATGTCGGACTTCTCAATGTCGGTATCTGCGCATCGGGGAGAAAAAAAAAACAGAGACAAATCCCTAAGCGAATCCCCCCACGCGAGAAAAACCCTAGCCCGATAGAACCGAAGCGATGCGATGGCCGCAGCCGCCGCCGCAGCGACGCGTACCGTCGAAGCTGAAGGCCATGGTGGGCTGCACGCGGGAGTAGTCGAAGAGCGGCTCCAGCTCCTCCTCATCCGCCTCCGCCTCCGCACCCGCCGCCTGCATCCACCAACCGCAAAATCCAGCCACACTTCAGCACCGCCGCGAATCGAACCGGAGGAGGAGGAGGAGAGAGCGTACGTACCATCGGAATCAGGAGGCGCAACCTGGATGAGATGGGATCTCTTCCTCCCGCTCGCTCGCCGTCGGAGATGAGATGGTTTGGGCGCGCGGGGGGGGGGGGGGGTGGCTTTGGGTTTGGAGAATTGGAGGGAAGCGCCGCGCCGCGCCGCTGGATTTTGGAAGCGGATTTGAATTTGGGGGTGGGTTTGTATTGGAGTACTGAAGTTCTGTGGATTTCTGAACCTGAATTACTACACGTTCCCTTCCGCGGGAAGATTCAGAGGGTTTTGGCTCCGGCGGCCGCTGATCTGCTCTGTGTTTTTTTTTCCCGTTATTTCCTAACTCACTTTTTTTTTCACGAACGCGTTTTTTAAACTGTTACACTGTATTTTTTTAAAAAAGTTTGTTATAAAAAAGTTAATTTTAAAAAATTATATTAATCTATTTTTTTAGATTTTTTAAGCTACTATTTAACTAATCACATGTTAATGGGTAATGTTGTTTTCCGTGTGGGGGAGGTGAAGTTCTCAGCGCCATCTCCTAAACTCAGCCTTAGAAAGGCGATAAGGGGCCTTTGTAAGAAGGCATCTCCGATCATTTTGTAGAAAATAACGATAAGGTTACCTGTAAAATAGTCGATCCTTCTTAAGATAGTTGTTTAGCATGTGTCAACAACCATGCGTCATAAAGATCGTCTTTTCAGAAAGCCTCAGGGGTGTACTTCCTCCGTCTAATAAAAAAACTAGTCCAAATTCATAGTACTATATTAGGTTGGTTTTTTATGAAACTAGGATGTGTTAGATACTGGTTGGTTTTTTATAAGATGGATGGATTAAATATGTAGTAGTAATATTTTAATATTTTTTACATCTGCGAACATTTACTTGCAACGTAATAACGCAATCACACACTCAAAATTCCACAACTGTTTCAGCTGCTTTTAGCCTTCAATTGAATCGTCAATTTCTTAGTACATATTGTCAATCTACAACCAGTGTATAAAATGTATAATCCCCTTCCACGTAATATAATTTCGCTGAACAAATCAACAACTAATCACAACACCACCACCATGACATGATATGCTCCCGTTTCCCTTCCAGATCATCTTCTTACCTGTTCTTCAGTTATACTTCTCCTCCCACCTGAAACGCCTCCGATCATCGACGACGATTCTTCCATCTCCCACTGCATTTCCATATCCACCGGCGAAAACCAAAACCAAAACCTCAATCTTGGCTTAGCTAGCCATCGAGGTTGGTGATGGGGCCTTTGAACCAGTGCCTGGCGCTGAGGAGCCAGGAGGAGAGGACGAGGAGGAAGAGGCCGCCGACGGCGACGGGGGTGTAGTTGAGGGTGTCCTTGGTGACCGGGTACGACACCGGCAGCGAGAAGAGCACGGTGATGGTGGCCACCCACAGCACCGCCGCCCAGCCGACGGCGACGCCGCACCGCCCCAGGTTGAAGGGCCCCGGCACGAAGTGCTTCCGCGCCAGCGTCACCCTGAACAGGATCGGCAGCGCGTACGCCACGTACAGCCCGATCGTCGCGATCGACACCATCGCCTGGAACGCCACCAAGCTCCCCAGCGACTGCATTTCCCATAGTTTTTTTTTGTTGTTGTTGTTATTATCAGTATTTGAGAATTTTGAGCAAGAATCAATTTGTCAATGTTTCGTTGCGTTTTCTGAAACTTTCTGAGATGTGAACAAGATTGTCAGGAACTTACCGGCAATGCCATGCAGAGGGAGATGAGGGCCGAGAGCCAGACGGCGTTGATCGGCACCTCGTGCTTGTTGACCTTGTGCCAGACGGACGACAATGGCATCGCGCCGTCTCTCGAGAACGCGTACGCCATCCTAATCAGAAGAACAGCGTTCGCGAAAAAAAAATCACGTTCGCGAAAAATAATCAGAAGAACAATATGGATACATATAGCAGTGAGTGAGTGAACTGTTGCTCTACCGACAAAAGTTAGAACACTAGAATGTCATCCATTGTGATTCAGTCATTCATTTGTTTTTTTTTTTACCTTGAGTTGCTTGTTACCGAGCTCATGCCACAGAAGTATATCGCGACGGCGACGATCCCTAGGCAGATGATCCCGCCGATGCCGCTCCCGTACCGGCTCTTGAAGGCGAGGTAGAACACCTCAGCAATGGCATACCCTCCAGCATCGTTCTCGGGGTTCAGCAGGTAAGGTATGTCCTTCACTGCAAAGGTGATGCCAAGAATGTATCCCCATCCTACTATTATCGATATCCCAATCGCGCTGATGATGCCGATCGGGCCATTCCTGTCAGCATTCTTCGTCTCCTCGGTCTGAATCATGAGCAAAAGAACCATAATGTCAGATTGGCCAGAAACATTTCTTGGCACAACAACATTGTCTGTTAGCTCTTGAGCTGTTCATTTTTTCGCCCTTACCATATGCGCAGACGCGTCATATCCTGTCAGCGTGTACTGGCTCATCAGGAGCCCCAGCACGAAGATGTAAAAGTTACTGTGAATCCCAGCGTTGTTTTCAGTGTTGAAATGGGTGAACACAAACTTGGCACTGGCCCTCTCGGTAGCAACCGTCGGCACAGCAATCATGAGGACAAAGACACCTGAATATTGCAGAAAACCACACAAATCTCCTTCAGAAATACTGGTCACTGTCTGTCTCTGTAGAACGAATCACTGAATCCTTCAATTTATGCGAATTGTCAGGTCAAAGAGAGGGAGGTGTCACCTAGCATGTTCCAGGCAGCCGCGAACTGCCCAAAGAAGGAAAGCCAGGTGATGGGGAGGCTGTTGATGGCGGCGTGGCTCAGCAGGATGGCGGCGTGGAAGGCGATCACGACGTACTTGGACGCCATGTACCCTCCTCCGTTGTTGCCCCCAGTGCTGAGCAGGATGATCACCTGAATCAGCTGGGCCAGTGAGAAGTCCACGCTGGTCGTCACCGCCCACTGCAAAGCAGAAGAAAGTTCAGATATTCAGATAAGAACTGAAAGTTCAGAGAAGGGATGGTTTGGTTCGGTTTACCTGTCCGACAATGTTAAACCTGCAGGTGACAGAAACAAACAAGCAAAAAACAACAGAGGATTAGATGCTGAAAGTAACTGTTTTGGAATCAAATCATACCCAATTCATTATGGTGACAGGTTGAAAGGAACATAATTGATTGATGTCATGTTTCAGTGGTATCAGAATGAAGACTATGTCTGCACGACCAATAAGTACCATCATCAGTACTCAAATGAGAGTTTGTTGCTGGGAATAGAAATGGAGGACTTGTCCGAGAAGGGATATGCTGACAGTGTGACAGATTTCCAATGAATGCGAAGTAAACCCATATCCCCTCCCAGAGCTACTTAGAACTAAATGTTTAGTATTAAGAAGTTGATATGAGCACAATATATATACTCAGTTGAACTACTGCTACTGGGCTTCAATGATTAACCCTGATCAAACACTATATCGTCAGTCGTCATCAAAACCAAAATTTCTAAACTTTGCCCAATGCTCTCCCTGCACAAGGTCAAAGAATGGAACATTGACTAAAACGCATGAAACAAAAATTCCTACTTGGATTAATAGGACCACATCATTGAATACGACATCAGAACAGTGCAAAGTAGTAGTACGAATTAGCAGCACTTCTCTCTCTCTCTCTCTCTCTCTCTCTCTCCATCTAATTGGGCGGAACAAAAAAGATTTTGTTCAGCAGGAAAAGAAGGAGAGAAGATTGCAGAGCTTTTGAAGATGCCGCTTTGATGTCACTCCAGAAAAGAAAACAAGGAAACGGAAGGGAACATGAGAAAGAAAAACAATCAAGCTTTTTGACAATGTTCCCATTATCCATATATATCTTGAACTCCCAACAAGAAACAGAAAAAAAAAAGAGAAAAACTGGCCTAACAATTAGTAAATCAACAAACCCCGTTCACATGCAAGTATCATGATCCTTCTCGTGCGCCCCCAATTCACATGATCCGAACCAAGGCAAGAAATCAGGCAAACGACAGTAGTAAAGTAATTAAAAAATGGGGGGTCAAAAAAAATTAACCGCTATGGATTAGTAAAAAAAAGAATGGCGGTTGTACCATCCGGTGATCCAGGAGGCGAAGGGCGCCCAACGCTTGCCGGAGAGGCGGGCGCTCCAGTAGTAGAGGCCACCGGAGGTGGGGAAGGAGGAGCAGATCTCGGCCATGGAGAGGCCGACGGTCATGGTGAAGGCGCCGGCGACGAACCAGCCGAACGTCATGGTGGCCGGCCCGCCGAAGCTGAGCCCCGTGTTGTACAGCGTCGTGATCCCCGTCAGCACCGAGATGATGGAGAACGAGAAGGCGAAGTTGGACAGCACTCTGCACGCCGCCGTCGCGCGCGTGAACCGGTTTAAAGTCAGCCAAGAAAAGGGCGAAAAGGGACGAGAGAGAGAGAGAGAGAGGGGCAGTGTGGCGACGTACGAGAGGTCGCGCTTGAGCTCCTGCTTGTAGCCGAGCTCCCGGAGGCGCGCGTGGCCGGTGTCGCCGCCGCCGCCGGCTTCGGCGTCCGCAGCCGGGGCCTTGTTCCAGGTCATTGCGGCGCTTCGCTCGCTCGCTTGCGCGCGCGCGGGGGAGAGGAGAAGGGCGAGGTTGGAGTTGGAGGGGAGGTCGCGGCGAGTGAGACGTGTGACCGTGTGTGGTGTGGTGGTGTGGTGTGCTGCGCGCGCGGCTACTACTTGTAGGCGAAGCGCGCCGAAGGCCGAAGCCGAGAGGCGGGCGGGGGAGAGGGGGTGCGGGGTCAAACGTACACGATCGAAAGTGCGGGGTTTGTGATGGTTTGTTTGGTTGGTTGCTTTACCTCCGGGCGCCGGGCGGACTGGCACGCGCTGATACCGAATCTGCCAGGTAAGATGGTGGGATCTGCGACAGTGTTGGGGTGAGGAATCTAGCCTTGCTCCCTCCTGCCTAAAAAAAGAGGAGACGAGACCCCATTTGCCCACGAGGGGTGGAGATCCGTTTTGCTATTTTTGATAGAGCTTTCCTGACGAGAATCCGAATCTCCCTATTATCTTCTTCTTTTGGCTGTCAGCATATGTTTTAGATATTGGATAAAAAATTGTCATATCCACTAGTAAATATACACAATCAAAAGTACACGAGTGCATACAATACTAATCTCATAATTGAGATAAATAACAAACAACGAAAAAGAAAAACTAAAATACTACGTTTTAGTCATGCTATTTTGCTATTTTGATTGAGCTTCCTGGTGAGTGCGAATCTCCCTAAACTAATATCTTCTTTTGCCTGTCAGCATGGTGCTGCTCTTTAAACTATTGATAGCCGCCACGAACAGAAATAAGTTAGAGCAAGTTTAATAGTACCGCCATCAACTGGTGATAAAAATGTACATGTCATCCGGAGGTAGAAAATAAAGATGATACGTACAATAGCAGGCTGCTAATCTACCTACACACTTCTCTAGGTAGTTAACTTTTTCTATTTTTTAATCTAACTTGCTACTCTCTATCCTATCCCGTGTGTTCTGCTAATGGGGCCATAGCTATGCTATTGGAGAAAAACAACCACAATATTGATTTTGCATTGGTTCCTATAATATGCATAGTTTCTTGTGCTGTAGCTCGGCGCTTGCAGAAGCGCCTGTTGCCCTCTCCCTCTATCTTTCTCTCTCCTCCACGAATGAATTTAGATGATGTGGCACTCTTATCGTCTGCTGATTGTGCCTCATTAAACTTGCTCTTAGTACTCCTACTATTTGGTGTTCGTGCTAGATATATATTTTTTAAGTAGATGGCATGAACACGCGTAATCTCTTTTTTATAGTTTCATAAAGTAAAGTGTTCCTACTAAACTAAAGTAAAGGTTTGCAACTTTGGATTCGGGCGTCTAGTGTACGGGCCACCCCAACCCCATGGGAATTCGAATCATACGACACAGACTGTAGATGTCTCAATTTTAACACGAAACCCAATCAAGGGATATAATAAGAAAAAAAAGGAAAGTACAGTATATAATACATACTAATTTTTTTCTTACAAAATGCTCTCTACGTAGTAACTCTGACGTGGCATATTGTGAGTAAATCAAGATTATTTTAACTTCCATGAAATTAAATTAAACGGTTGAAAATTTTGTTTGCAAATGTTTTGTAAAAAAGTTTTAGTACGTGTAGAAGTCCTCAGAAAAAAAAATAAAGTCGCGTGCATCAGAGATGGCAGGACCGCAGGATGGGATTCGGTGAAAATGTGCACGCACAGCACGCGCGCTGCGTACGCAGGTCAGGTGGCATATAAAATGCTTATAAAAATAACAGGTTCTGTTACATGCGAGTCTGCAAACGTGATTCATCATCTGCACACCAAGTAGCAAATTATATTTGACACTTTATGGAAAGAAATGTAAAAGAACCTTTTATATTCTTATCTACGACATGACTCACCAGCTAGATCTTCACCGTGTTTAGTTCTAAAATAATTCTTCAAACTTCCAACTTTTTCATCACATCAAAACTTTCGTACACACACAAACCTCTAACTTTTCCGTCACATCATTTAAATTTCAACCAAACTTTTAATTTTAGTGTAAACTAAACACACCCCTTTTTTGGGTGCTGCAAAGGATCAGGTTACGGTCAATTCAGATTATCAGAGGAGTACTAGCGTACGGGTTGGCAGGATATGGATTGTTTTTCAGTCAACCACGAGACAAAGAGGCAATTTCTTTTTTTTCTGCCATCCTACTATTGTGGATATTTTCCTCGTAAGAAGGATTTGTACAGATTCATAATATTAGATTAATATTAGATTCATAGTATTAGGATATAACATACTCAATACTAGATTCTTTAATTTTAAGATGGATAGAGTATATATCTTGGAAATAAAATCGAAAACGATGAAACCGAAAATAAAAACAGTATCAGAAATATCATAAAAACGAAATTATATAGACATAAACATATTGATGTCGAACGGAAACATTGAAGTATAAAATAGAAATACGATAATTACCACAATATAGAAAAAAATAATTTCCGTAAGGACATGGTAAAATTCAGAAATGATCGATACGCGGCAAAGCAAATCGTTTTCGTTTCCATTTCTATGTTTCTTTTTTTATTTTATTTTTTTTTGTCTGTAACCATTTTAAGGGGGTGTTTGGGAACTAGGGACTAAATTTAGTCCCTCTCACAAAAGTATAAGTCCCTATGGTAAGAACTTATATTTTTGTGAGAGGGACTAAAGTTTAGCACCACTTTAATCCCTCCAACCAAACACCGCCTAACATAGCTCGGTCAGTAACAACCGGAAATTAGTGTGGTTGGGAGTAGTATCTGACAAGAAAATGTTGTTTGAATTTAACCATTCCTTGAAATTAATGATTTCAGACTCATAGGAAAGATGCAGAGCCTATATTATGCACCTAAGAAACAGACTTTGAAGATGACTGAGAGAATGAAAGGTTGGAATAGACAGACATGTATACATCTTAAATTGTCAACGGTTCCCCTTAGAGCAAGTTTAATAGTATAGCCAACTACTAGCTCCAATTTATCTATAGCCATTCTAATAGCTCATTCATACAATAGCTACATACTACACTATTAATACATGGTCCCACCTGTCATACGCATACTGCGTCTTAGAGTCCGTGCTACAGCTGGCTATAAATCTGTAGTCCGTTGCTCTTCTCTCTCCTCATTTAATTTTTTAAAATATATTTACAGCTATCTTATAGCATGTTATTGATTGTACCTGCTCTTATATTGCCGGATCGTGTCTACGGGATGTCGGGATTCGAAGTCGGCACACAACACGAAATTAACAACCGAGCATATATAGCCTGGCACGCCATTTCCTCTCTTTGCTTTGTCCTGATTGCAACCTGTCTCGTGTTTATTAAACGAGCCGTAGAGACGTGTGGATTCGCTAGCCGGGCGTACGTGCAAATTAACGTACGTACTCACTCAACTAGACTTAATTATTAGGGCACCCGTAATGATTATCTATAAACTATCTACAAGATATCTATGTCAGCATATTTTATTGCTTGGAAGAGATTAAATGAAGAGAAAGAGCAAAGCTATCTACTAACCTGGATATAGTCTATAGAGAAAAACGAGACAATTGATTAGAGAGCTATAGATACCCATGTAGACATATCATTGAAGTGGTTTATTATTAATCTAGTCTATTGCTGAGATGTACATATTTTATAGATATCACCTTACTTTACCATTGCGGGTGCTCTTATGGGCCTAGCCGTGGAGTGCTAGAGATGCCAAAAGAACTAATATTTTTTCTTTCTTTTTTTTGCACTTTGCACTTTGCGCAATCAAAAGATTCGGGATTGACTTTTCGCCCATATCCTCCTGTTTATCGGACGTCGATGGCTCTGTCTGTACGTGCGTCGATCGCGATCGCATGACGCACGTGCCGCCGCTCGCAAAAACCTCGCCTCACCCCTACGCCGGTGGACGAGAGGCCGCACGCGCAGCCACGACACGTACCAAGCAGGCGAGCGCGAGGCCGACATCTTTTTACGTGCGTGCGCCACCAAGACGGAGGAAAAAAAAAAAGAGAAGTGCGGCTCTTCCTTCCGCGGCCGACTGATTCGTACAGAACGTGTTCATGGCTCGGTTGCCTTTTGCTCCCACACTTGCAATTTTAACTACTCCGACTCCGTACTCTGTAATCCACGGACAGCAAGGACTCACGTACTCACGTTGACCAACCTATGGCACGTACGCAGGCGTTGCATCTGAGATTTTTTTGGCTTTTGGCTGTAGATCTGTTTATGGGTATAGGCAGGAGGTATAATCCATTTTCACTATCTTAAAAGAAAGTATTTGTATATAAAGCTCAACTTTTATATACGTGTTAGTGATTCAAAAGCAAATGGTATAAAATTCTGCGATAAAAAAAAACCACAAAATCAACCTTAAAATTAAGTTTTAAAATTTAAAATTTAAATTTGGATTTATAAGAATAAGCATAAGCGTAATAATAAAACTTGTGTTAATCAACTAAAGCAGCATGATTAGATTAATTTTGTTGACATTTACTCACAGGAATATGTGATCAACCTACGAAGTACTACTACATTATCAGTAGTACATTGATAATAAATTACTATGGAGTGCTTAGTAAACAAACACGCAGAAAGGGAGGTACTCTGATACTTACCAGCCGGTGAGCCATGAAGCGAAGGGGCCCCAGCGGCGGTGGCTGCAGAGCCTCGCGCTCCAGAAGTAGAGGCCACCGGAGGTCGGGTAGGCGGAGCAGATCTCGGCCATGGCGAGGCCGACGACGAGCGTCATGGCGCCGGCGATGGGCCAGCCGTACACCATCGTCGCCGGCCCGCCGAACTGCAGCCCCGTCCCGAACAGCGTCGTGATCCCCGTCAGCACCGACACGATCGAGAACGACACCGCGAAGTTGGACAGCAGCCTGCACGCCAAAAATTGTCAGTAGTGACACCTTTCGCTGATTCCCTGTTTCCTTTGTTCATTTCTTTTCCTCCCTCTTTTTTTTTTAAAAAAAATGAAATGCAAAAAAAGCATATAAAAAGATCTGTGAAAGAAAATGTAGTCTAGTGGTTATATGAATTAAGATCACAATTTAAAAAGGCTGTATATACTATATATAAAAAGTGCCCTTCTTCTTAAAAAAAACTGAAAAAAAGGGGTCTGTTTTCTGATGGGCCGAAGGGGATGGGCCAGAAGGCCTGGTTTTAGATAGGCCCTGTTGGACGAGTTTGAAATCTAGGCCTCAACTACTTTGGGCTCACTAAAGATCAACAACTCTATGTGTACTATACTACTGTGATCTCTAAGAAAATATATAGGCAGTGTTTGGCTAATGGGATAGGGTGATCTCTAAGCAAATATATAATGTATAAAACTCCAATAGATTGGGGAAGGACAGTCTGCAACTCTGCATCCTAGTGACAGCAAAAAAAAAGTGGATATTCTTAAGTATCCTTTCTTTTTTTTTTCTTAAGTCTCCTTACGAATTGAGGATGTTTAGAGAAACTTTACAGAAACTGAACTGATTCCTACGAAAATACAATGAAATTCGTATGTTTTAAAGAAGCCCTTAGTAGTTTCACAATTTGAACTTAAATTCCTCCATTTGCCAGCATTAGAAAGTGTGCGTGTCTTCATAATTGGGGAATAGGGAGCGAAGCGCACAAAGCCCGCAAGCAAGTACTACTAGCTACCCATCGCGCGTCAACACGAAACCACAATTAATAAACACGTAAACAACGACATAAAACACGACCAAATCCAATCATCTCAGCGCCTCGATCAACCGCAAGTTCAGAAGGATGATCCGGCCACGAGAATCGAAACGGATCGACGACCGCGCGGATCGCAGCGAGCGCGAACGAGATGAGTATGGCGGATGATGAGGAGGAGGGGGTACGTACGAGAGGTTGCGCTTGAGCTGCGGCTCGTAGCCGAGCAGCCTCAGCTTCCGCTCGTCGTAGTCGCCGCCGCCGCCGCCGCTCGCCGTAGCCACCTCCTCATCGCCGGCGAGCCGGCTGTAGCCGCCGCGCTGCCCTTCCTCCGCCATGTCGGTCTCCGATCCCTCCTAATCCTCTCCTGCCTACTGATCGCTACCACCAACTATTTGGGGGGGGATTTCGACTCCGACGCCATATGCCATGGCAGCGACAAAGCTTTTTAAGGTGGAGGACGGGGTGGTGGGGCCCACAGCCCGGCCCCACCACATGGGATTCCCGATTCCCCTCTTCCTGGAGGATGTGAGTGGGCTCCACCCGCGAGATGTGAATCTCTGCGACCGCATCGGTTCGCATCGCACCTAACGATCTCCGGTCGGAAACAGTGGTGCGGCCGGATTCGCTGTCGCGTGTCATCACTCATCAGCGCGTCATGTGCGCGGGATTTGCAGCCGCGCGCTACACGCTTTTGCTATTTTATATGCTCATTTTCCCCTCTGTAAATAGGACTGCACGTGAGATCGAATTTGTTGGGGGCATAAACAAATTTTCTTTTGTAAAAAAAAAATGACACACCACTGTTGCACCAATGAAGCTCATATTAAATTACTCCATCCATTTCATATTATAGTTGTTTTAATTTTTTTCTATTCAAACTTCTTTAAATTTGGTTTATAAAAAAAATCTAGCTACATCTACGAGATTAAATTAGTTTAGTTACATGTAACATTTAATATATATTCATAATATGTTAGTTTTCGGTGGAAGATGTTACTATATTTTTTTATAAACTTAATTAAACTTAAAAAGTTTTTAAAAAAGAATGTTAAAGCGATTTGTAATATAAAACCAAGGGAGTATTCTTTTTGTTCCCAAAATTCCTCCTGTCATCATGTAAAACACTTTGCAGGAACAGCTCCCAAGGTTCGCATCGTGCGGTTATAGTCTTGTAGTTGTTGTAGATTGAAGCTACTTGAGCTGACGAACGATATCGATGCATCGCAGTATCGCACGGTAGGCGGTAGCGCATCATCCATTGTTTTTTGAGATCAGTGAGCTAAGCTGAGGCTCGCCCTGTACGTGCAGCCTTCCTCGCCCGGAGCGGCGACCTCCTGGTCACCGACGAGCTCCGCCGGAGCAGCAGCGCCTCCGCCACGCACAGGTTCAGCACCACCCCTCTCCCGTCGACCCGGCCGCCGTACTGCCTCGACGCGGCACGCCGAAGCCTCGCCGTCGGCGCCGCCGCCGCCGCCGCCGACGACGCGTCGTCGTCCGAGCTCGCGGGTTCCTCCAGCATCATCCGCCGCCGTCGTCGCACGGAGCTGAGGTACTCCCCCACGACGCGACCCAGCAGCTGCAGCGGCGACGGCGACGACGACGACGACGGCCACCACCACCGCGTGTCCGCACGTAGCTGCGAGAACCTCCACCACGCCACCGCCGCCGCCGGCCGCCTGCCCAGCCTGATCCCTCCGCCGACCGCCGCCGCCGCCGCAGGCCGCCGCCTCGGTGTCGCCGGCGCCGGCGCCAGCCGCCGGTAGCTCCTCGTCCACCGGTGAGCCCAGCATGACCGGACGCTCCGGCACACCTTGGCACCAATCGATCCTTCCATGCGTGCGTATTGCACTTTCGTCACTACGTGCTTGCTAGAATTAATTAACTCCAAATATGTTTGCACAATTTCGCCTCCTATGATCCACAGTGGATGTTGCAGTTTGCAAATCTGTAATTCTGAGAATTCTTGGGTATATGTAATGCAGAGGTTTGAACAATCTGTGGCTTTACATGAGAGTGAGACTAGAATCGAATGGAATTCAGCTAGAATTTAAGCAAGCGAGGGTGTGTGTGTTCTTGCCTTCTTGGTCAAGTTGTGCAAGTTGCTGGGCTTGACTAGACTGGGTTGCCTCTGCAGAAGGTAACCCTGATGCCTACTTCCAGTTGACTTGTGGCGATGAAGGTAGTAGCAGTTAGCACATAGGCTGGCCATCTTGGAACGTAAATGGGGAAGCAGCTACGTTGATTTTGTTGCACCAGCCATTCGCTAATCGTTCAACTTAAGGCTTTGTTTAGAAAATATTGGATGGACTGTTTTTTTGTAGATTATCTACTTTTTAATAGGGATAAATTAAATGTTGTGATAAATAAATTTAACAAACTATTTAAGACAAGTGGTCTAAGCAAATACTAGAATATTTTTCTTGACAGGATGTATTTTTTTTTAAAAAATAGAATAAATAATCCTAAAGGAATTAAGCTGGATATGTGAATCAGGTGCGAGGAGCCGAACCAAACGGCCCAGCTGGCCAGGTTGTAGAAGAAGACGTCAGGCATGGCCAACATTTTGACAAGGTGAGCCAAACGGGTTTTGTTTAACTGTTTGACTTGTGCGCGACTGGACTCTATATTACTACATCGATTGAGTGCGGATGCTGCATGACCGTGTGACTGCAGAAATGCTCTTCTTTGGCTTCCAGTGACATGAAGACTATGGGAGAATATAAACCATATTCTATCCGTACCCTATGAATGTTGTCAATGGTGCATGACATAGCCAGAAGCAGCACACTTGTACTGACATACCATGGATCGGACTATCGGAGCACACCAAAAGAGAAAACATCACCATTCCGGACAAAATTTCTCAGAGATCATCCTCCCCTGCATCTGTACAACACACGGCACCACCTGATTTGAGTCCAAAGCCGACCGACAGAGGAAAGACGCAACAGGCATAAGTTCGTCAGGAGCGTGAGTACTGGGCATGGGCAATGACATATCAGAACTACAGCTGGATCAAATCTGCCGCTGCTGCTGCTGTTAGGGCTAACAACACCACAAGGAAATTCCGGCTGGGAGTTGAGGTCTCCGATCCAGACCGGTCCTGTGGCGGCACAGGCACGGGCGTCGAACGCTCCTCCGTCGTCGGGGGCATTGATCCTGGGACGGCAGCTGCACAGGCATTCACAACAGATTAGCGAGTCCACATAGGCGTTGCCGTGACTGTGATTAAACGATGAAATAGACGATATGATCATGGTCATACAGGAGCTAAAAAGTACTGTTACAACTGAAAGATGAGAAGATTATACATATAGTATAGCATCAGCAGGACACTCCATGCTGGAAATGGTAGTAACAGTTACAAGTCTTACAACTCAACAGAAGAGATGCTGCAAGTAACAGTATACCATGATCGCACAATTACGTATGTGATTCTTTTCGTGGTATTACTAAGTTCAAATTTCTACTATCATAGTTTTATAGCTGCACATAACACAAAATTGAGACAAAACAACATGTGAGCAGAGGCGAAGTACAGGATGATACGGATGAGGATTATCTCACGAATGGAGTCAGTGGCCAAAAGGTCACAGGATAAGTGAACAAGCTGAATAACGTTTACCTGGAGAAATTGTTGGCGTGGGAGGTGGGTCAGGTAGGAAACGCATCTCTGGCAGTGACTTGAGGTCTGCTTTAGAGGGGTGAAACAAACAAAGATGATAAAGAATCAAGAACTCATGATGTCAATTAACAAATCAAGTTCAGTGAATAGTTTTAAGAACTCTCTAAGAGAAAAGCAATGACGTATTATCTGAGAATGAAATATTGTAAAGCTCAAGAAATTTGGTGAAATTGATGCCAAACAAGGCTTTCAATGTGTGTCATGCATTGCAATTTGCAAATTTCCTTGATGACCGTAGTATCAATTTGTCCTACATTTGTATCTCTGCAACTTTTTAGTAGTTTGGATAAAACGAGAATTTATGAAGTAAGGTTGACGTTTATGGATAGACACAAAAATAGGCAAACACTGTTTTCCAATTCAATAGTTTCACACAGTAATACAATTCCCAGTAACTACTAACCAAACTAAATTTTATCTGTTCACAAATAAATTTCATTTCATTTCTCGAATAAATTTATCTGGTTCAATCTATTTGCTCTCAGTAGTATCTAGAGCTTGCGGCTCGCCAACTATTTGCATCTATCACCAACCGTCGTGAATGCACATACTAGTTCAGTAGTTCTCCAACATGATCGGTGATCACGAACACAAGAATACGCAAAACCGATGGAAGCAAGGACATGTAAAAGGAGGAAGAAGGGGGGCACACGGTAATGACCTCGGCACGTGTCGGCGAAGAGCGTGGCGGCCTCGACGGCGGCGGCCGCGGAGGCGTTGGCGTTGGCGGCGGCGCAGGTGGGGAGGAGCGCGCCGAGCCTCGCGGTGTTGACGGGGAAGCCAAGGAGGAGCGGGTCGCGGAGCAGGTGGCAGAAGCACCCCTCCCCGCCGCCGCCGCTGGGGGAGACGCCGCGGAGGAAGGCCGCGCAGCAGGCCTCCGTGGGCGCGGGCGCGGGCCGCGCGGGCGGCGCCACCACCGCGACGTGCGCCAGGCACGGCGCCACCGACACGATGGCCGCCGCGCACGGCGTCTCCGGCGGCACCTCCGAGAACGCCCCGGCCGCCGACGCCGACGCCGAAGCCGGTGCCGCCGCCGCGGCCACGACGGCGGCGACGGCGACGGCGATGAGGTGGAGCGCGGTGGGGCCCATGTGCTCTCGCCGCGGCGCGCGCTCTCTGCCTCTGTAGGTGGGCCCCGTGTGTCTGTGGGGACGGAGGGGTTTTGGAGGAGGGGCTGCGGCTTCACTGTTCCGTTGTTGTGTTTCCATCCGTGTTCCGTACCACGTGGAGGGCATCGGTTTGTCGATTCTTTTTGGTGGTGGGGTCGGCTTCTATCTGCCGTGCAGAATATGACGCCGTCACTACTCCGTCAAAACAAACCGGGTACTAGTACTTTTCACTCCGCGCTGCACAACTTGGAAAACCACTGCATCCTTATCTCTTGTCCCCAAATCAGAGAGTTCATCTGAAGTTCTGCTCATCTGCTGCTCTCCTCATCTTCCTCTTGGCCGCACGCAACCATGGTTGCTCTTGCGTTGTCGGCGGCCGGGCTCGCCGGCTTGGCGTGGTCTGCACTCCGCATACTCGTCGGCTTGGTGTAGTTTAATGGTCAGTACCAAATGTGGAACTCCCTTGCTGCTGGCAACTACTGTTTGCTATGGTGAAGAAGTGAAGAATTGAAGATCGAAACTTTTTTCACCATACAGCTGCATTAAGGTAGTTTTATTTGGTAAGTTCATTTTTGCAAACACCTCTTGTATTTTGATGCTTCTAAATTATTAGGATTTTTTTTATATGAGCCAAACAACATGTTTGGTGGGAACCATATATTTGATGCTAATACAAGAGAAAGTACTAGTATGATTTGACAGCTTGAATCGATATGGGAATTCAGATTAAGATCCAACCTTATAAGTTGTAATGTGATTGGAAATTGGTAAAGGTGCTAATTAATATGAAAAAAGGTGGGGATTTTAATTTAAATGGGCAAACATGCTATAGGGATATGTATCAAATGTCTGTGCAGTCTCTTCATGCTGCATCCCTTGACTTTTTTCAGAAGTTCTGAAATAACCAGATGACTGAAGTAATGAAGCACCTTCAACATGATAGTAGTCTGGCATTTGCATGTGATTGTAGTTAGTGGGAATCTCTGAACGACCCTGAATCTGTATAAGGCAAATAATAATCAGTAGCACTAATAAGAGTCTCTTTTGCCAAGTGTGTGTATATCTTGAATCTACTGACCTGCATCATGGTGTATGGCAGTGATGGTGTTACCACCTCTGCTTGTACTGGACACTTTGATGTGTTTGAATCACTCTTTTTCTTTTTACTCCGTTGTGTTGCCTTGTCAAAACCACCAATTGGTCTCCTCGACCCACGAATGGCTTTCTCTTTAACCTTTATGCCTCTTGCTTTACTCGGGTCAACATTTTCCTCTGTGCCTATGATAAAATATTTTTGAGATAGCTGATTTAGATTATAACATAGTAGTCACTAGCATAAGTACTATTCAACTCAGAGTAGGATACAAACCAGATTTATCCAAATCTGGATCAGGCCTTATACTCAAGTATTTCTCCACATCTTCTGCTAACTTTTGTGCATTGTTGGCAGCCATTAAGTATGTTTCATCAGATTCTGCAGCTCGAGATGCTATTTTAACAAACATTCTGCACAAGTCTCTCCTGCGCGTTGATAACTTTATTTTAGGATCTTCATGAGTACTGCAGTTGCTCTTTATATGTAGAGATTTTGCATCAATGGTCCACCTTTGTAGTATGTATTGCTTAGGAATTTCTTTTATATTGTTAACATCAAGTATCTTCAATGCATGGCAACATAGGATTCCGAGAAATTCAAACTTCTTGCAGCTGCACCTGACTTTACCTTCTGTTGGAGAAAATTTTACAACATGCTAATGGTGCTTACCGCGAACTTTTAATTTGTACACCAGTATAGGTCACAGTTCAATGTTTGCAACACTTGTTCCTGAAACACTTTAAATATTGCTGGAGTATAAATTCTTGTTGTGCCTTAATATTGTCAAATCTGCTTTCGGCCATGGTGTACTTTGTGTTGTCTTAAAGTCATTTTTGACTTCCTCATATCTTTTGTCTGACAACAACCTGTCAAAGTGTTCCAAGAAGGTAAGTATGTCATATTTCACACTGATATAGCCCTTCAATTCATTGTTCATGCTCTCACTTCTCTGTGTTCCACTCATATCAGCAGAAAATGTGTTTCTCCCATACACTAATGCCCATTGCTCTTTTTTCTGAAATAGCCTCTCAAGCCATTTGTTCTCCTGCAGATCATACTTTTCAAGCATTCTATTCCATGCATTTATAAATTCATCTTCCTCCTCTTTGTCATAAATACAATTCTGAAAATCTGCATTGAATTTCTTGTACTCCTTCACAACTCCAGCAAGGTGTTTGCAGGCATTCTGGTTCATATGCCAAACACAAATTCTATGATGACTTTTTGGCATGACTAACTTGATTGCTTTGGCCATTGCTGCGTCTTCATCAGTCAATATAGTCTGTGGCTTCTTTCCAGACATGGCTTTTAAAAATGTCTTGAAAAGCCAAACAAAACTATCAGCAGTTTCATCATACAAAAGTGCAGCACCAAAAACAACGCTTTTCTTATGATTATCCACACCAACAAGCAAACCAAATGGACGACCATCATTTAGTTTTCTATATGTTGTGTCAAAACAAAGAACATCACCAAAAACTTCATAATCAGCAATCATTTTAGAATCAGTCCAGAAAATATTTGTTATCAAGTCATCCTCATCAACCAGAATGGAATAGAAAAAATTAACATCTTCCGATGATTTTTTCTCCATATATTCCAAGACTCCCTCTGTGTCACCTTCGTTTACCTTCAATGACCTCTTTGAATATAATCTATTCTTCATGTCTTCACGAGTAAATCCAAGATTCTCATATCCACCCGCTTCTTTTGCCATTAAATCAATAGTAGCCTTATTAGAAATGCCTACTGATTTTGCATTTTCAGCACTTGCCATCTGTGCTTCAGTTATTTTCCTTTGAGATCTTAAGTAGAGGGCCTGACTTCCAGTAGCAAGAATGTGGTTATGCTCGTGCAAGAATTCATATATGCAATACAATCCATCATCCCTAAGACTTATCTTCATGCATGCTCGGCACATACATCGTGTTTCTGGCCTACTAAAACACTGACCGTAATTTGAAATTTGGTCTTCTCTTTTATCATGACCACGAGTACCTATTGTTAAATAAAACTAACTCAGTATATGAATTCTATATGAACACTAAACTTTGTAAATATAAGTTGGAACTAGTACCTGCACGAGAACAACAAAATGTCCGATTCTTTATTATGGTGGAATCTTTCACATAATGGTAACTGCTTCTTCGTATGCTAAAACCCATGTCTCGAGCATAGGCATTATAGAAATCATATGCCTCTTGTTCACTGTTGAATTTCATACCGATGATTGGTGCCTTCCCTTTGGAGGGATCTGCTTGTGGAGTAGCTTCAATTTTACTAGGATCCTGATTAATATACCTGTTTTTTTATCTGAGACAAATTAGAAAAGAAGAAAAACTTTCATGAAACTTACAGAAAAAAAAGGGCTAATAGAAAAGAAGCAAAACTTCTATGAGATTTACTGAACGGAGATATGATGTGCTTGTAGTGATCAAGTCTCAATGATTACTAATAAAAGAAAGTGAAAACATTATGAAGTCTTACCGTCTCTAATTCCCCTTCTAGGTTACCATGAAAGCTTGTCCCTGGATGATGCAGTACAAACATTCCAGCAGAGGCAGCTGGTTCCGTCGGCATGGTTGTCACTTGTTCATGCAGTGAATCGGTGACCTTGATTGACCTTGGAAGATTAGATAGAGAGGCCATTGTTGTTGCGAAGAAGATGATTGTGATCCGATAATAATGTGCCATATGTAAAGCTTAATCTATTTTCTGAAAAACTGTCTAATGGTTTGGCGCCTTAATTTTTATTTGGCGCCTTTGTTTCCCTGGAGGGCCACGCTAATTAGGATTAATCGCTAACTGCGTAATCTGGTGATTGACGGAGAGAATAATCCTGTAATCTCCGTTTATGGTGGGGCCACACAAAAAGAATCGACAAACGAATGCCCTCCACGTGGTACGGAACACGGATAGAAACACAACAATGGAACAGTGAAGCCGCAGCCGTGACAGTGTCGATGCACCTGTTTCTCGAGTGTTCGACCAAATTTATTCATCACTGTGTTTCGTTTGCGCTGGCATTCCTGTGAAAAATTCACGAACTCTATACCTTTCTTCAAATCGGAATTGAGTTTATCACATTTCAAATCGGAATTAAAAGGCATGCTAACTTCATTGCTAAAATATACCTCCTAATTTTTCGTAACGCCAAATTTTAGCATTAACAATAAGGTTTGGCCATGTTTGGTTTGATGTTTTTCAAAATTTCGGTAAAAGTTTTGAGAGTAGAAGAAGGTTATGAAATTATCAAATTTTGGTGAAGTTGTACTGTAATGATATGTTTAGTTTGTAATCTTATCAAGTTTTGGGGATTGTTAAAATTTTTGAAAAGTTGAAAATGCCTATAAGGTAAACAAGCCTTAAATTTTCTCACGTATAATGGAACTTGAAACGTGTTGACGCGATACAGTTGTAATCTTATTTACATGCCAAATCAGTAAACGTGACAGCCGCAACATATGCTGCGGTCGCAAAGTCGCAGGCCGCGAAACTTCGGCGCGGTCGGCCCGGCCGTACTAAACGAAAACACAGGAGACACGATCACACGACTACACGAGCAGTGGCATTAGGCCGGACACGAGCAAGACGGAGACGACGACCAAGCGCGACGAGAGCCCGCCGTGGCCGGGACGCCGACGGTGAGCGGCGGCGGACCGGATGTACCCCCTGACCTGCGGGTACATCTCCGCCGGCGTCGACGGCGGCCAGTACGCCGCCCCGGCCTGCCCCTGCGACGGGTACGGGTACGGGTACTGCCCGTACGGCTGCGCCGGCGGCGGGAGGGAGTACGCGGGCGTCGTCGGCGGAGGGTAGTGGTGGTTCACCGGCGTCGGCTCCGGCTCCGGCTCCTCCGGCGGCGGCGGGTGGTGGCGCGACGGCGGGAGCGGGTGCGGGTCCACGTCGCAGACGCACATGAGGCACTTGCACTTGCTGCCCCCTATCACTCGGCCCAGCGACGGTGTCGCGAGAACGGCGGCGAGGATTGCCACCCGCAGCAGCAGCAGTCGCAGCATTTGGCTTGGATTCCTCATGTTTTTTTTTTCTTTTTGCATAGGATTAGTGGTAGGATTAAGATTTAACTGTGATTCAGGAATGCATTGGACATGAATGTGATATATATATGAACTGGGACTGGGTTAGATGTGCTGGTGTACGTGACGTGTATTCTTTTCCTTTTCTTATTGTGTTTCTGGTAGGAGCGTGGAACTACCGCTAATATCTCGGGGGGTTTAAGACTTTAAGTGCTCTGGTTACGGGAGAGCATGCACCGAACAGGATTGATTAGTGGTTCTTTTTCTCTTTTTGGTGCTGAAGTATAATATATTCGGTTCTAGATGTAACTTCAAGCTTCATTCTATTGTCATTCAATTCCGTGCACCTTGGCCACAGGTGAACAAGTCCAAAACAACTAGTGCCAGTCGGGGAAGTGTATTTGTGGGACGTCTTCCTGTTTCTGCATATCACCGAACAACTAATATTAAAATAGTATATGATTTCAGATAAATACTCCCTCAATTTCTCAATTTTAGGTTATAAGACATTTTGAATTTGGTCAAAATCAAACTGCTTTAAATTTGACTAAATTTATAGAAAAAATAATTATATTTTCAACTCAACACACATTTATTATGAAAATATATTCAATTATTGATTTAATGAAACTAATTTGGTATTATAAATACTACTATATTTGTACATAAACTTAATCAAATTTAAAATAGTTTAACTTTGGCTAAAATTAAAACGTCTTATAACCTGAAACGAAGAGAGAATCAAGTTCAATTACTAAGTAGAAAAAAAATAACATTTTTGTTTGTTTAAATTCAATTCAAAATTACATGTTTCTGGAGATATATATCAGTATTGATCAATCTCTGTATTTTTTTTAAAAAAAACTTCATTTCTCTGTACTAGTCTTCTACGGTTTACTCCTGTAGAGGAAGATAAGGTGCACGTTTTTTTTTTTTTTAAAAAAAAAGCGAAACACGAGTGCAGTTTCACACCAAAGGGATCGTCCCATCATCCTAACAGAACGGAACAACGACGATCATCATCATCATTGTCACTAGTTCATTACTACTACTTCAGATTGTTTATCATGAAACTGTACAAAGGCAAACAGTCCCGTGATATCACATTGTCACGGTACACTCGGAACAGTATAGACAGTTCTCGCTGCAGAGCCCATCCCATCGAAACAAGACAAGAAAATAAACAGAAATACTTTGTTCCAGTGCCCTGCCTTGCCACCTTTCTGCATGCACCTTCATGAGATCACGACGCTGACGCGCCTCATCGGCAGCAGGGGGCGGCGCCGCACCGCCGCCGACTACTCACTCTCACTCGATGTCGACGAGGCTAGCTAATCTATGCAGGTGATGATGTTGCGGCCGCTGGCAAAAATTGATCTCAGTAGCTGGAGAAGGCCATCCGGCTGAGGCAGGCAGAGTTGCCGACCACCTGGGGATGAGCGTGCGCGCGCGCGGAGGCGGAGCCGACCCCGCGCTGCTGCTGCGCGGCGCCGGTGTCGGCGAACGGCGAGGAGGGCGCGCCGGCGAAGAAGCCGCCGCTGGGCGAAGGCAATTCGGACGAGGCGAAATCCTGCATCATCCCGTCCAGCATGGAGCGGAGCTCGTCCAGGCAGTACACGGGCTCCTGCACGAAGTGGATTAACACAGGTTTTAGACGCATCGGAAATTTTTGTAATTTGAATTTTTCTCTTTTCGCTGCATTTGGGTCTAGAGTATAGCTGATTTGTGATCGAATCGCTCGTGTCGGCTTAAATCGGTCATCAAATTTAATTACCTCTCTTCCTACCGTGGCCATGAGGGACACCATCTCCTGGAGGAAGTCGTGGAAGCCCTGGTGGTGTCGCAAGGTAAGCAAATCAGCAAGTTAGATCACAAAAACCATCGCAATATCAAAAAAAAAAAAGAAAAAGAAGCAAAGCACGCATGAGAAAAGTTTGATGCTTAGTGGATTACCTCGACGTCCTCCTCCTGGTCGTCGTCGAGCGGGTCGTACATGCCTGAGTCGTAGAGCGCCCTCCTCTTCTCGTCAGACAACACTGCATTCGCACGCGACAGACAAAAAAAAAATTCGTATTCAGAAATTCGTCCGAAGAAGATGATGCAGATTGCAGAGGACACGCACGAGAAACAGAGGATTTGTGCTTTTTGATTACCTTGGTACGCCTCGTGCACCTGCTGGAACCTGCTCTTGGCTTCCTCCGCATCCACGCGGCCGCTGGTGATCTTGTCCGGGTGCCACTTCTGCACGCACCAAATCCCAAATCACGTCAGCGCCATATATGCTCAGATGCTCTGCTTCCAACTCCGGCGAAACCAAACCACAGGAAAACCAGACCGGGTGTGTTGCAGAATCGCACTCACCATGGCGAGGCGGTGGTACGCGGCGCGTATCTCGGCGGCGGACGCGCCGGGGTGAACGCCGAGCACGGCGTAGTACGACGATCCCTGCATCATCCTCCTCCTCCCCCTCCCCTGCTGCATCCGCCCGATCGACCGATCGATCGCGATATCCTACTCCGACGCAGCAGCAGCAGCACACACTATCCCTCTCTAGTCTCTACCTCCCGCTCGATCGATCGCGATGAATCTATCTATCTTGGGTGGCGCGGGGGCTAGAACAACATTGGGGGTGAAGTGAAAGAACGATGGCGCGGCTGGAGAATGTACGGGCGACGTCGAGGAGAGGCCTCGCGAAACGCGGAGGGTGGCGCGTGCATATATATGGGCGCGGACGCCGGAAAATATCTTTGATCGTGTCAACCAAAAGAAGAGAAGAGGATAGCCGAAGCGTTGCGAAGCCAAGCTGGAAGGCGGGAAGAGTTGCGCGGCGCGACGCGGCGCGCGGGAAATATCTGGCGTCGGGAACGTTCGCGAGCGTCCGATGCATCGTCGGGTGGGATAAAAGCGGAGGCAAAGGGGGAGAGATATTTTTGTGCGGCCCGGGTTCTGTGGCTCTCGCGCCGTGGGCCGGTGGGCGCGCGGGGCCCCCGTGCCAGCCTCTGCAGTCTGCACTCTGCACCCCCGTGAGATTCTCGATCCTGTGGGCGCGGCGCCCCGCGTGGCGTCGGGTCGGATACTCGCACTGACTAAGAATAAGGCGCCGTTTCAAGTTTTGACGTGTCATCAATACATTCATTCGAAATAGTTTAATAACAAAATAAATTGATTTATCTGGTAAACTGAGAGATAAATTTATTAAGCCTAATTATTTTAGCATTAGCCAATGTTTACTGTAGCACCATATTATCAAATCATGGTGAAATTAGACTTAAAAGATTCGTCTCACAATTTACACACAATCTGTGTAATTAGTATTTTTTTATCTATATTTAATATTCCATACATGTGTTTAAACATTTGATGTGACATGGTAAAAAGTTTTTGCGTGGGAACTAAACAGGGCCTAACGGATCAGAAAGAAATAGCGAGACAATTTCCATCGAAGTATGGTAAAAGAAATTTATAAAAAAAAAAGTTTTGTAGAGGTTTCATGGGTCTCCTACGATCCTCATGCTAGTAGTAGACGCTCGAGCCCCGCCGCTACCACACTGGATTCATCCCTGCAAAACCATAAATTAATAAAAAAACTATGCTCATACACACAGTGTGTAGCCGTTTACAACCGATGATAAATGATAAATTCAGTCGTATGTGAGTTGGAGAATCAGATCGTATGCGTAACCATTTTTATAGGGAATTTGGCATGTGCTGTTTGACAAAGGTGGCGATGGCGAATTTTCATCTTTGTTGGATGGACAAAAAAGAAAAGGGCGGGAGCACGTGTCAGTTACGACTGTTTTCAACGGAGCGGTGGAGCGGCCATTGGACGAACACGAGAGCATTGTGCCTTTCTCTGATGTTCTCCGAGATGGCGAGATGCGATGGAGACGCGGCGACCGACGGGCGAAATCAACGTGTACAGAGATCTTTTCGTGGAATCATCTGGTTTCTTCTTCCTCCAGCAAACTAAGCTAGTACGTGCCTCCGAGTATGTGGGAGCATGTAGATACGAGTATAATGTAAGTTCGCGTGGGCGCGTGGCGTGGCTGGGTCAAGCTGCTTCCCCACGAAATATCGGCCTTCAAGCCAACCAACAAACCCATTTCAGAGCAAGGCTAACAGTGAAAGTACCCAGTCGGCGGTAGTACATCAGGTCATCTAAAGTTAATACTGTAGATTGTTTATATAAAAGATTGGTTCTATATTGGTTTTACGGAAGCAAGAATATGTTTAATTGTTGCATGTACAGGTGATTAAAACTAAACTAGTACTTGAAACCACACAGTATGCATATGCATATAAGATCAAGTAACTGAACTATAGACCCACAAAGCGAATAAAATATTTCATCTTGCCTAATTTGTCGTGTTATCGTCCGGCGCTTGCAGAAGCTCTCGCTTCACTCTCTCTCATGCTTTCTCCCTCCTCCACGTATGATAATACTGATGTGGTGGTTCTTATCGCCGGCTGAGTCAGTACTATTATACCTGCTCTCATAGCACCAAAACCTAGCTATACGGAAATGCACACCTTTTTAAATGTTTGATGAGTACATGTTTTTTTTATTTTTATTCTTTTACATAGCACACTTGCATACACACACGTAACATCACACTTAGATCCCCACAAATGCGCGGTGGCGGAGCTGCGAATTTAATCCCGTGGGATCAATTACTAGTAATTTGTATTTAAGTGGGATCATTTCTCAAAATATTTTGAATTTATACCTGAAAAGGTTTGTAGGGTGTACAAACTATGGGGTCAGCCAACCCCACCGAATATACCTGGATCCGCCACAGCAAATGCGTCCGCTAACACACGCTCTAATGTAGAAATCAGTGGCACATATCTCACTAAAATTGTGTTAATGCTCAACTTGCATATACGTAATATTTGTGCGCATTAAGATTTGAACCTTAGTGGGTAGAGTCATGCCCGGGTGTTTTCGGTTTAATTAAGTTTGGAATTTATATGATATTGAAGTTCTAATTTTATTTTATGTTTTGTCACGAATTAGAATTAACATGGCCGCTTTAATATGGTCTCTTCTTTTTCTCACTATTTTATTATATTCCGAATTTAGTGATTTGTGGATTATAACCGTGGAATTTGTTTTGGAAATGAATTGCTCGTTTTATTTTATTTTTTACTCCAAATTTCAATTAATTTTGTATTGTGTTTTACGTGAATCTCCCTTGGCATTTTTTAGTCTGAATTTGGCTATTTATAAATTATTTTTTATGTGGGCTCTTTTGTTTAATCAATACCGTTATGATCGATTTGGAACATCCACAATCAATGGTTTAAATATTAATGTAAAATTTTCTAAGCCTCGTGAGCGAACACAGAGATGTATAAATTATACGGTTAGGAAATTCCTGATCGACTGATAGCCGTTTCCGTGTAAGGGCTACCATCGTTTCCGTGTAAGGGCTACCGTTTCCGACTGTATCCTTTTTGGCTATTTATAATTTTTGTTTTTTCTAACTTTCTTTCTATATCGTATTAATTTTGACATTGAGTAGTTTAAAGTAATTACCCCCCGAACTATCGCGGTCGTCTAAATTACCCCATGAAAAACAAAACCGGACATTTTACACCTTCAAGTATTTATATCGGACAAATTACCCCCCTGAGCACTATTCTAAGTGGTTTTGGTTTAAGCTTGCACACGTGGCGCCAACGTGGCAATCCAGTCAGCAAATTAAAAAAAAAGCGTTCGGGCCCACCTGTCATCCCCAAATATATATATATATATATATATATATATATATATATATATATATACACACACACACACACACACACACACACACAGAGTTTACTACAAAGCCATGACAACTTTAGCACCTTGTGCCAAACATTATACACCAAAAGGCCTAACCACTCTCCTTCAAACCAATCCTAATAACAGACATACTATCCCCAAAACCCTGAAATGGGATGAGATCACCCTGCCTGAGAAATGGGTTTTATCTCAAGCTGTTGAACCTAAGTCTATGGATCAGTCGGAAGTCGAATCCTTGATTGAAACACTAGACGGAGATGTTGAGATAACATTTGCTTCAAAACAAAAAGCCTTTCTCCAGTCTAGACCTTCTGTCAGTCTAGATTCTAGGCCTAGGACAAAACCTCAAAATGTTGTCTATGCTACCTATGAAGACAACTCCGACGAACCTTCAATCTCAGACTTCGATATCAATGTTATCGAGCTTGATGTTGGCTTTGTTATTGCTTTAGAAGAAGAAGAATTTGAAATTGACAAAGAATTGCTTAGGAGAGAAATAAGGCTCCCCAAAAATAGAGCTAAGACTAAAAGATACCTTGAAGAAGTTGACGAATCATTCAGAATGAAGATAAGAGAAGTTTGGCATAACGAAATGAGAGAACAAAGGAGAAATATTTTCTTCTTTGACTGGTACGAGAATAGCCAGATTATACACTTCGAAGAATTCTTCAAAAGAAAAAACATGATAAAAAAAGAGCAAAAATCCGAAGCAGAAGATTTAACTGTTATCAAGAAGGTTTCTACAGAATGGGAGACAGCCAGTGGAAACAAGGTAGACTCTGTTCATCCTCCATTTGAATCCATTCAATTATCTCATAATGGAGGAAAAGCTTGTCCACTAAAAAGTATTTCTAAAAATACATATGGAGAAACAGCAAAGGTTGAACACATAGGACATTTGGTAGAACAACAAAATTATGCAAATATATCTCTACGTTCTCTTGGTCAACAAACAGATCGAATAGAGACAATCCTTATGGAAGGCTACAAAACAGGAAGACCTGAGGTAAAAATAAATATTCCTTCTAATTCTCAGTCTTCTAGTTCTCAGTCTGTTAGTCCTATGTTTGTCCCAACAATTGATCCTAACATCAAATTTGGAAAACAAAAGGCTTTTGGACCCGCAATCTCTGAAGAACTAGTCAATGAGCTAGCCTTAAAACTAAATAATTTAAAAGTAAATAAAAACATCAATGAGATTTCTGATAATGAGAAATATGATATAGTCAACAAGATTTTTAAACCTTCTACTCTTACTTCCACAACTAGGAATTATTACCCTCGACCAACTTATGCAGACCTACAGTTTGAGGAAATGCCTCAGATTCAAAATATGACTTATTACAATGGCAAAGAAATTGTAGAATGGAACCTAGATGGCTTTACTGAATATCAAATCTTTACTTTATGTCATCAAATGATTATGTATGCTAATGCCTGCATAGCTAATGGAAACAAAGAAAGAGAAGCTGCCAATATGATTGTCATTGGGTTTTCTGGTCAATTAAAAGGATGGTGGAATAATTATTTAAATGAAACTCAAAGACAGGAGATTCTTTGCGCAGTTAAGAGGGATGATCAAGGAAGGCCATTACCTGATAGAGATGGTAATGGGAATCCAACCGGTAACATTTCTGATGCCTTAGCCACTCTAATCTATAACATAATTTATCACTTTGCTGGAAACTATCATGATATCTATGAAAAAAATAGAGAACAATTGATAAATTTAAAATGTAAAACAATGTCAGATTTTAGATGGTATAAAGATACTTTCTTGTCAAAACTATATACCCTACCAGAACCTAATCAAGACTTTTGGAAAGAAAAATATATTTCTGGTTTACCTCCTTTATTTGCTGAAAAGGTTAGAAATTCCCTAAGAAAAGAAGGGGGAGGGAGTATAAATTATCACTATCTAG